AATAACTATTGAGAGCAGGTGGTAATGAAATACAGTACATAAAATGAATATAAAGGACTTGCCTGTAAATCTCCAAGTAAATTTTTTGCTTAAGTTGAACTTTCAAAATTTGTGTGAGCACAAATGTACATTTTGTTTGTTTTAATTGAAAACAGAATAACCTGTCCTTTTTAAGTATTTTCATGTGTCTATACCTCATTCAATTTGAAGGGCTAAATGTCTTCTATAAATTCTTCAGTATTGTGAAAGTGCAACATAGCTACAAAAATGCTGCAGATAAAACAGATCATAAACATAATTTGTTTATTTGCATTGCATGTACTTCTCCAGAAATTGCATTGTATTATGTTCAACATACTGTATAGTGGATTACACCCTTTACTTTCTAAGTCTTTTCAAATCTGAAATACTGTAGCATAATACTTGACTATTAAGTTCTTAGAGTTTCTCACATACCTAGGATACAGTAATAGTTATTACTGGAACTATGTATAAGTTATTGGGTAATCAGCGCTGATATCATTCATTTTGTGGAATGACTTTGTGTGTGTCTTCTTATTCAGTTCTACTTCAATTATTATTCTCCCTCAACCCCTCTGAGAACATCAGAAAAAGAAATAAAAATCTTTACATGCATGTCTGTCTATTGCAACAGACCTACTTTTTTGACTGTAATTTAGAAAAAGGAGGAGGCTTTTCTGATTTTTTTTTTTTTTTTTTTTTTTCCCCTGGCAATTTACCGATTAACTTCTGAATGGATTATTATTTAACTGATTTAAAGGTCCAAACTGAATAAAATTCAGTTTGAAACAGCAACTGAAATAGAACTTCTTTTTTCTTTTCCACTGAAGTGTAAAGGAGTCCTGATTCAAAATGCATGCTCAATCCTTTCTTGGTGAATTATCTTCTATTAAAATATTTTTGATAAAATTTATGTCTTTTCAAAGATGGTGAGAGTCTTTCTTAAAAGCAATTTACAGTCTTCTGTAAAAAACAGGAAAGCAAAAGAAAGTCACCTATGTCATTTTAAAACAAAAGGTTTCCAATTTTTTTTTGGGTACAAAGATTTTGTTCCAACTCTCCTTACATTCTTTATATTTCTTTATCATATTGTTTTTATTTGTGCTCTTTTTTCTTTTTAACCTGAGAATTCAATCTTCTTTAAGCTGTAAGTGTCAATAAAGATAGTAAAGATCCCTGCTGAATACATCTGCCTTCAAACATATCATAGGGATATTATTCATCTATTTATATCATATATCATCTATTTAAATCATAGAGATTTAAATAAAATCTTTTTAGTTTGTCAATTTAATTGTTATCTAAGGTATCCAGACCTTTGAGACTTGCAACATAATTTCAAGGGTCCTGAGATTTGCTTCTGCAGTAGCAAAATAGTCCCCCAAAGGCAGTGGAGGCCCTTGTATTGGTAGACTTACAGTATGCCAAAGGTGGAGGCAGCATTTTAAAATTTGTTCCTGTAAGCTTAAACACTATCTACACATCCCCTTCAGCTGTTGAGTTCTGTGGGCCCTTGGTCCCAGCACAGTTTTGTACCTTTCTAGTGTGCATTCATCAAACTTATGCATGTTTGCATGTATTATGTGTTTATTACTACATAATTGCACATGTGTGTGCATGTTCTCTCAAATTGTGTGAGAATCTGGTATTGTATGCAAAATAATACTTGTTTTTACAGGCCCAAAACATCTTTCACTTCCTATTCTCAGAGTTGTTTTGCTTTGTCATCAGCTAGTGAAATCCGTCTTCCTGCAGTTTGAACTAGTTCTACCTTGTTTATTTGTATAACAAAAGAACAAAACATTGTTTAATAAACATTCTAAGAACATGATCATGTCAACATTCTAGCTTGTGTCATTGTGTAGAGGCAATTTTTTTGATTGATATCCTAGGACACTCTTAAGGTGAAAGACTTCTTTGACTTGCCAAATTCAGACTTGGAGCCTCTGCATGTTCTAAAAAGAATTTTCTCTCTCTCTCTTTTTTTTTTTTTTTTTTTTTTTTTTTTTTTTTTTTTTTTTTTTTTTTTTTTAGGAATCCTTCTTAGTAATACTATGTGGCAGCATTTCCCATCCCTCCTGGCTTTCTTCCCCATACAGGATATTTATCTTTTGTGACTAATTAGACTGAGTTGATGTGCGTGGGTATATGATTATGCCCTGAACTTGTTTCTTGTCTTATAAATGGCAGAGTACTTGATTTACTTTTCCTAGTTTCTGTAGCTTTTCAGATTACAAGCTCAGTAGTACCTGCAAACTCAAAAGTGAACAAAATGTGAACTGTGATAGAAAACCTTGTGCAAAAAAGCAAGTCAAGTCAGCTAGAGGACCTGATTTTTGTTTTATCTGAGACCATTGGAATACAGAAAGTACTTCTTACTTCTGAGTATTGTATTATACTGTGCTAAAATATTCATTAAGTTTTCTGAAATGCAAACATTGTCTAGAAGTCCATGCAGTATTAGTCTAACAATTGTTTTTGTGTTCTTAGAGAAGTATGTCTTTTAAACTATGCTACTGCAACATTCAGAATTGAGTCTGGATTCCAGTGAAAGAGCATGAGGGTATGTGTATTCTCTATACAGTGTAGAGCTAAAGAGAAATTTATAGAGGAGACAGAGGAGGAAAAAAAAAAAAAAAAAAACAAAAAAACCACCAAGCTCACAGAAGTTTTCTTGAGGCGTGGGTCGGGAGAAAGATATACATAATTTCCAGAGAATGTAATGAATGATTTTCTTAGGTGAAGGGGTGCTGTCAAGCACCTTTGCTAATGTAACTGATCATTGTGAGCTTTAATGCAGTTTTTAGTTTGTTGAAGGGGACATTTTCAGAAAATGTCATATGTGAGATTTCTGAACCATTTTCAATACAGGTTCTGCTAGAGGAGCCAGGAGCACTAGGAAATTGTCATAGCTCCTGAAATGTTGATAAACCCAAGTGTCTGAAGGCTTCAGTATGTGGTGGTTGTCAAGTTATCTTTGTGGGCTTCTCATGACAAGTGCCAAGTATATTCAATATTGGAATTACTTTACTTTTTACTTTACTTTACTTTACTTTACTTTACTTTACTTTACTTTACTTTACTTTACTTTACTTTACTTTACTTTACTTTACTTTACTTTACTTTACNACTTTACTTTACTTTACTTTACTTTACTTTACTTTACTTTACTTTACTTTACTTTACTTTACTTTACTTTACTTTACTTTACTTTACTTTACTTTTTTCCTTTTTCCTGTTTTTGTGTGTGTATGTATTAAAGCTGAGAGAGTTCTACATCTGGTTAAAATGGTTAGTTTCACTGCTGCTAGTGAAAGTTATATATCCAAGTTCTTTGCCATGACGGAAACATTGTAAAGATGTGACTATGTAGAACTTAAAGTCTACGTATGTTGTTAGGGAGTCATAACCAGATGGAGAGAAGCCTAGTAAGTCTGTGAAAATGCTGTCCTATGTCCTATGCTGCCCTGTGAAGGCATACAGAATAGTTAGAGGCCTTTCAGCAATCTGTGGTACGTTTTGGAAAGATGCTTTGTATTAAAGCTGTGTTGTCTCTGAAGCAGAGCTTTTTGTTTCCTCAAATTGCCCCTGTAGGAAATAGTAAATTCAACAAAACAGTTTTGAATTAAATTGTGTATTGTTTTTGAATTTTGAACTTCAGTGGATTCAGCCTGCTTCCATGGGCTAAGGTTCACACAGAGTCATTGGGTGAGAGGTTTCTTTAACTTTGTATCTGTCACAAACAGATACATAAAACATGTTTCCAGAATTCAGTTTGTCATTTGGACATAAAATTAAACCATAATTTTGAACAAAAATCCTGATAGATCTGTTCTTTCAAAAGTAATTCTAAATTAGGTGCTTCTGGAGGCTGGAGTTTAATGTTTCTAGTTGTAATAGAGGCTCCTGTTTTGGCATAGGGAGCTATGCTGCCCTCTCTGGCTTGAACCTTGCCCTGAGCGTTGAAAGTGTGAACATTAAAAGGCAGGGCAGGAGAAGATATAGAAAACCTGACCAATAATTATCATAAATCAGTATATCTTCATGCTTAGTCTGCAGAAGCATTCTAGATGTTTTCAATTATCAAGTTAGACCAGTGGTCTGCAGTTTGGGAATTAATTCTGGCACGGAATACTAATTCCAGTCTTTCAGATAAGATTGTTTTGGGAGGTATCACTGAACATTTCATAGGAGAAAATTTGCTTTGGACTGAAATGGCCTTTCAAATTTGCAAATCTGGCATTCCATTTCTCTGCTCAAAAGTGTTTTCTAGTAAGTGTACTAGCAATTAGCAGAGTGGTTCATAATCAATGAAATGATTCCTTAAGTCAGCATATGAAAATCCTGCATTTGCAGGTTTAATGAAACTGTTCTGCTCTTGAATCACTTTGTCCAACAGAGATTTGATTTTTATCTGACATGTTATAATTGCTTTTACTCTTAATTTTGCTGTTTAATCCCTGGCTTTTACAGATTTTTTTTTTTTTTTGGTATATGTGTGAACGCTGCTTGCTGCTAACATTCTGCCTTTAAATGATTTATTCTTATGTGTATTGAAAGATGCTCACTATAGCTTAATGAACAATCTCAAATGTTTAATTTCAATCTTCAATTTAATCAATATTTCTCACATATCTAAGGATAAGAAGAAATACCTGGATCAGGCCATGCAGCTTTTATTACCTGCCTCTATGAAGTTACTTATTTGCTCTTAAGTTTTTGCTAATACTAAAATGAATCACTGGAATGCGAAAAAGTATAAATTTGTCTTTTGATAGCTCAGCTTCATTTTTATTCTTTTCTGTATATTACCTCTTCCAATTGCTGTGTACCATTTCAGTTTCTTGCTTTTATTCAGTCTTTTCAAAAATGTAATTTAAAGTGTCTGTCTCTAGTATAGGAAACATTTTTACTCTTTGGATTGCTTTAAGTAGCTATAGCTTTTCTTATTTTCTTTTCTTGTTCTTCCATAGGCATATGCATCAGGATGCGATATTGTGGTTTTGGGGACTGACTTTGAAAGATTACAGATAATCCCTGGAGCAAAACATGGAAACATTCAAGTGGGATGTGTGGACTGTTCAATGCAACAGGGGAAGGTATGTAGAGCAATGTTTTGAACGATGTTCCAGCAATGTCTTGTCAAACATCTCAAGAGCAGAAATGCTTGCAAGTTTGGACAAATAAATGAGTGAATGGCAAAATGAGTAATTGCTTTATTTAATCGCCACATTAAGGTGAACTGGTAAGCAGAGTTGTGCAGCTGTTAAAAAAAAAAATGTGTAAGGCTGCACAGGGAGATAAATTTAAAAAAAAAAAAAAAGGCAAGCATTTGATCAAAAGCTGGATAAGCTGAGAATAAAGGTAATTATTCGCTCAGGGTTTTACTCTGCTGTGCATGTCATGGACCTATCTTGGCATGTCAGTATTTCGCATCAGATTAATGTTTTCACAGAAAAAAGCAGTTTTAGATTTCTAATGAAATGCCATCTCCTTCAAGGGTTTCATAAAAGCTTAAAATGTTGTTTAATAGGGTTTTCCTTTCCTAGATTCTCTCTCTTTTTTTTTTTTTTTTTTTTTTTTTTTTTTCCCCTAATCACTGGACTGGATCAGAAGTCCTGCATTTTGGATACTACAGAGTTTCTCTTTATCACAGTAGACCACTGTTTACTGCAGAATAGTTGAGAGAGAATTCTATGCAAAGAATTTGAGATCTCTCTTTTTTGGGAAGTTGCAGGGTGGTTGAAATCTGTTACCACTTAAGTAGGAAATTGTCTTGGGGTACTTGTAACATATAAGTGTTTTTTAATCCATTACTTTCATTAAGCATGTTTTGGTGAGATGGTAACATGAACCTTCTACTCATGACTGCAAAGCTTAGGAGTTTATGAAACCTTTGGCTAGACTTTTTTTTTTTTTTTNTTTTTTTTTTTTTTTTTTTTTTTTTGAGAAGGGCTGCTGCATGAAAACAGTTTTGTTTTCGTACCTGTGAAGTCTAAGGAGGGCAATCTAGATCATTCATGGCCACCCTCCTTTCCTGCCCTTTAATGTTTTTGAGTGCTGAGCTCTTGCAGCAGTAATAAAAGAACAGCAGTAATGAAAAGGAAGCGATGTTCTCCTCTGTTTCGCTGTCTGGTAGCTTGAAGCCATGAAGAATGCAAGTTTCCCTGGAGGATGCTGTTCAATAGCTTTCTTGTGTGGCTGAACTGACAGTATATTAGTTGATGCTGAAATACATGTCATGTATGCAAATTTAGAGGTCATCTTGACTGCATGGTAGCACTGGATAACAATCTAAGTATTAGTATTTTGAAATATGTTGAGCTTCCTTAAGCCTTTCCATTTTTATCACCTTTTTAAGTGGGCCTTTATGGTTATTTTGATTCTGCAAGTTGGTATGATTTGCTGATGGCAATTGGACTGGGTGTGTTGGCAGAGTCCTGAAATAGCAAGCATATATATCTGTTCAATGACTGGATTGATTAGTATACTTCCTGTCCATGTTAGTGAAGACTGTATTTCTCTTATAGCCATTTCATCAACTTTGGTGTATGGATTTCTTTTCAATTTGCCGCTGGATGTTTCTTTGCTGTTTAAGATCTTAAGATCTGTTTAAGACAGAAAGAAATAGAAGACAAATAATGTAGCTTATTTAGGATTCAACTTTTAGCTTTTGTAAAAAGAATTTACAAGTTGTGACTTTTTTTTTTTTTTTTTTTTTTTTTTTTAAATTCCTTGCCTCTCATGGTGGCACTTACCTCTAAGTAACTTATCTTTATTTGGAGAATCTCCATCATTTCTCCCTTTGTGTGATAATTAACTTGTAAAAGGGTTATTAACGGCTATCAAAACAGTAAGTTCAGGTTTATGTTCTAGTTTATGGAACAGGAGAAGATATGTAGAGCTAATGGAAGCTAATGCCTTGTGATACCTCTGGACTAGCAACACCTTAAAGTCCATGCTTGACTAACCCCTTGCTGGGCTTTATTTTATTAATTTATATTTTTATTTTATTAATTTATTTTGAATACACAACCTCAGTTTTTACTGGTTCGTAATTGTGAGTTTTACCTGTGTAGTGGATTTGTTTGTTTTCAGTGTAATAGGAAGGCTGTGAGTTCTTTCCAAAGGAGTAGTTACTTTGTTTTTCCTTTTCTGTTTTTTTGATAGTGGTAATGTAATTCAGTAAGAGAGTACAGACCTTTTGAAAATTGACAAAAATGTAGTGACTTTCCATGACACAAGGAGAATTAGTCTGTGGAGGGGAAGATGAGTTAAAAAATCAACTATTGGTTTATACTAAGGCTTTATAATAGGCATAAACTTTCAAGCCTGCTGTTGCTAGTTATATTCCTTTTTTGAACTAAGTGTTGGGAGATGCCAAAGTTTTGCCCCAAAGGCTGATGGTTTATTCTTAAATGACCTTTGGGTACCACCTCCAAGAGTGCTGCTAGTCTCTCCAAGAACTCAGTAAGGCTTCTCCACAAATCTTTCTTCTTATAGCAGAATTTAGGTACACAAGAGACATCTGGTAGCTGTCTGAAGAATTTATGTTACTAATCTGGGAACGCAAACTTGCGTTATTCATTTCTGTGGCATGCTGCTCAGTGAGGACTGGTGTAAGTAGTTATATTATTATGGAACTTGAAGATTTTTTCATGGGAGTAGCAGTTGCTCTGAATGAAACTTGTTTAGTATTTTGGAATATGAATAATAGTTTGTCTTGAACTCGTGTAACACTGAGTGTAACACTGAAAGAAAAAGTGTCCACACTTAGGAATTTCATATTTCTTTATCTCTGATTACTCTGAGTTTATTCAGAGTACTTGTTGAGACATGGAAGGGAATTATTAGAATTAAAACAGAGAAGTGACATAATTAAAGACAATGAGAGAAGCTAAATATTAGTTTGAGATATAAAGAAAACATTTCTTTAGGCATTTATCAACTGACAAAATTACTGTTGTCATTTTGGGGTCAGGTTGTTTTGCTGATTAGATTGTTAGCTTGAGGTAAATTTATTAATTTGCTCTTTTAATGCAGAAGATTTCTTGTGTTTGAAACTCTGGATTTACAGTTGAAATAACATTAACAATTTAGGTATGACAGACTGATACTTTTTTAAAGCTGTTTGACCTTTGATTTCTGAAATCGAAATGTGTTTTAAAAAATGAAATGAAGGTGTACCAGGGATAAAGGAATAAAGGAAGACTCTGAAATACTCAAGATAGTTGTTACTTGACTGCAACTTTTTAAAGTTTTTATTTTGTGTTAACATTTAATTTCTTTCATTTTTGCAGTTTTCTGCTTAGGATATTTGGAATTGTTGATCTTCCCGAAAGTCTGCAAAGTCATTCTGAACTACTGTTGGTTCTATTTTTTAGAACATAACCTTGGCCTACTACTTTGACCGTTTACCTAAATTATCCATGGGAAGAACAGTGATATTAGAACTAACAGAAATGTCCACCTAGACTCTCACTAGTTATGACGATCGTATGAGTAAAAATTGTCTTGTTCTAGTGCCATCAGTACTTGCCTCAAGATTTTGATAGATATGTTTTTCTGATATCTGAAAGGAGGAGGAAAATCGACTTCATATTAATCTTCAAGGAGTAAAATTGGCAATCCACATCTTAGTCATTTGTTTTATAACTTCGTTTCTTTGCATGTTTACATACATATCACTTTTTTTAGATTGCAGCTTCTTATGGAAATGTGATTTGTATCTTTGAGCCAGTTAGCCTTTTGAACCAGAAGAGCAGTCATCATACCGTAAGTAATACAGCATTCCTTAATTTCATTTATCTTCTTGTAGAATTCCTCATTTCTCTAGTTTGCTCTAATTTTAAGATGTTTCCTTCAACGCCAAAAAATATAGAGAGAAGATGGCCATGTTAAAATGGTAGGAAGAGGGCAGAGGCATATACTACTTAGCATGCATATTTCTTAATCTGTGATCCTCATATTATGATGATTCCTATCACTCATTTTTCTCATTAATTCTGAGAAATGCTAGAAGCCAAGAAGACATATGAGACCCCAGCTTTCCCAAGACTATAACTATCACTGTGTAAGTTTCTTTGTGGAAGAAAAATACGCTTTATGCACTGATATGTTTTACAAGTCTTATTTAACTGTGATTTATGAACCTGCACCGTCTTGCTCAAATCTATGATTCTAACTTCAAAAACTTCTGACAGTGTTTGTATTTCCAAGTGTGATCTGTGGTGATGCTTAAGAATATCAGTTTCTTGATAGCATGGCTTAGTTTTGATGAAAATGGTTAGTGATCTGGCCTTTGATCTAAATTCTTGTTTTATGATATGATTAAGGGCAGAGTGTTTAACCACCGTCCTTAAAGGAACTTCTGCCAATATAACTGGTTAAAATATTAGTGTCTAGTTAAAGTCAAGTTGATAATGTGAGGACTTGCAGGAACAATTGTTTGATGAGTAACTTCCCCCTGCCAGGAAGGGGGATAGTGGTTCATCTTTGCAGAATTATTCTCTGTATAGACTAGTTCACTTGCAGGTTTCAGAGTGTCTGTGTAAAATGTATTATATATTTGTTAATGATACAACATTGAATGTTTATAGCATTTTATGCCACTGGAAAGCAGTAATATATAATAGTGTTCTCGTATGAACACTCAAGAAATTTGGCATGCCCTTTGACTGGAATTCACAATTCTGTCCTGAGTTTGTTTTGCACTACCATTAGAAAATCTTACCTTGAAAACAGATGTACCTTGAAATCTGGAAGTGATGATTTTTAGATCCTTATCTGCAGGTACTACTTACTGTTTTTCCAAACATATCTCAAAGGTTTAGTTGTTGTATTTTAACTGACGTATGTGTTGATTTGATATTTTTTGTAGTAGAGTCTGCTTAAATTTTGTCTGTCTTTGCAAATGCAGAAAAGAAAATCAGCTATTTATTTTAAAAGGGAATTTTGATTCTAGTATAGTTCAAAGTAAGAAAAGTTTATAAATTACTATGGAGGCAAACCAGATAAAAATTTCTGTAGTTTAATCGTAGGCATATTCTAATGAATGAAGTAATATGCTGCAAAATCTGATTGTACTTGATGATTCGGCTTTATTTTTTGCTTGTCTGCTTTGATTAAAAATAAAGGGCTAGGAAAGTATCATACAGGTCATCATGACCTTATCCAGGTTCTGCACTTCAGCCCTACAACTGATAGCAAATATTGGATGCATTTAATGTATTTCATTTTCTTTTTTTTTTTTTTAAATTAAAATCAGACTTCACTTAAACTCAGATTCTGATAATTTTATATGCTGATTTTTTTCAACTTAACTTTTCAAAGTAAGTCAGATACTTTTTTTCATGTTACTAGAGTAATATTCTGCTGGAAAAAAAAAAAAAAAAAGAATGAATCCATTTTTATTAGATAAGTAGTAATTTGTTTTAAATGTGTCCCTAGTAAAAACTGGAGAGCACAGTGAAGAAGTAATGTTTCTGATATTATAGAAAGGGAAGGAGGAAGATCAGTAAGAGTTTTCATGCTAATGATTGTGAAAACTTATTTCCAGAGACTACATTATCAGTGGCAGAAGAATGCTCAAATCCTACTAGAAGCAATAGCACATAATTTAACATGGGATCCCACAGGTAAGAAAGGAAGTTCACTAGCATCTATTTACTTGATATGACAGTGAACTTATTTCAATTTGTCTGTTTCTTGGAGGAAAAATAAAGTTTTCTTTTTCTCCTAGCATAACAGAGAATGTAAAAACAGAGTGAAATTTAACCTTTGTCACTAGTTACAGGACAGCTAAGACATACTAGCTACATATATATTATCTTACTTGTTATCTTAAAGCTACTTAAGCTGTTAGCTTAATACTGCTTAAATTAGCAGGTTCTTGCAAAAAAGTGCCTTAAGTGCCTTAAATGGTAAATATTATTGTGAAAGGGGAACCTTTACAGTAGCTCTAAGTGCCTATGCTAATAAAATTACTTTGGAAAATTTATTGTATTTTCACTATTCGAACTGTAGCTATTCAAATTCAAAGAGCAGAGTAGAAGCTGGCTTTTTGCAACAATTGCTCTGTCATGTCTTTCAGTTTCTTCAAAATAAAGGATTTTGTAATAGCAGTGTGCCATTTAGCACATTGCTAAAGCCATAACAACATTGTTATAGAAAAAAGTTAATAAGTCTTTGGCATATTGTTCTGCAGTATAGTCGGTCACAAAATTGATTTTTTTAAAAAATTGTTTTTAATTTTTCAATATACAAGTCTATACTCTTATCTGTTTTTTTTTAATCTCTTTATTAATATTTTTAGGTACTCGCCTTTTGACTGGTTCCAGTTGTCTTCAGCTTTGGTCTAACAGTCACTTGGAAAACTCTTCTGACAATGGGAATGCTGAAAGAAAAGATGTTGGCACTGGTGAATGGAGATGTATTTGGCAATGCAAGTAAGAAATTGCTTTAAAACACAGGAATCTTTTCTCCATACTGGTTAATATTTTTCAGGTGAAATGTGTAATATAATTTATCAAAACCTTCTTGTATAGCGTTATTTGGTAAATGCTATTCAGATATTATGGTTAATCTGAATCATTCCCTTGAGTACATGATGTTTCTTTCCTCCTACAAGATTGGCTGTGATGGTTTTTGTGGTAACTTATGTTTTCTGAGCATCTCTTCAATTGTATTGAGCATTCGTAAAATACTGAGGGAAGGTTCTTTTTGCTATTGTCCCTATTTCTCAATACTTATATAGTAGGTAAGGTTAGCGCAGTATGTTTTAGTATTTTAATTGCAGAGCAATTCAGATAAACTTACCTTAGTGTATGCGTCACTTCCTTTTTTCTTCTCTCTCCATTCCAATCGTTATGTTTCTGTTTATTCTGGATATCTGGAATAGTATGTGGAAGACGTATATGTTCTAGTTTACTGCATCTCAAAATGTTGTTCTTGTATTCATGTTGATTAATTGTTAAATTTTTTTATTAGCACGAAGCCCAAAGGGTTTTAGTTCAATTTATAACTAAGCAATCCTTCCTACCATAGGAAGGACCTTCATATATACCAGATGCAATTTTTGTTTGGACTGTTCCATTTAGCAGTCCTTAAATAAGTTTCTCTTAGCGCTTGCCTGTATGGACTAACTTTCCTCATGAAGCACTTGGCATTAATTAAGTAGTTGCCTTGAAATACCTAGAAAAATCTTTTTAATTCTTCAGTCATTCCTTTTACTTCGAGATTCTGACTCAACAGGGCACACAAGTAGAAGTATCTGCTATGAAAAAGAGCTAGTTGACTGTCTAATTGTAGGGAAAAAAAAGTCCCTGCTTGAATTATTATAGGTATTATAGGTATATACACAGACACACACACATGTACATATGTATATTTTCAGATTCAAGGTCACAGAATGATTGAGTTTAGAAGGATTCTCTGAAAGCTGACTAGCCCTATGCTCGTGCTTATTGGGGGTGAGGTAGAACAGGTCTTGCTTGGTCCTTCTTAATAAAGGTAACACTCTTCCTAATGCAGTGTAGGATACTACTGTCTTTCTTTACCACAAGGTCATGTTGCAGGCTCACTGTCAACACGTCCTCAAGGACTCCCCGAACCTACTTCACAAAGGTACTCTTGACCTGGTTGACCCTCAGCCTGAATGGATGCAAAGGGTTTTTCCTGCCCAGTACAATTAAAAAGAGAAAAACTAATCTAGCGTTTTGACAAAGGATGTCTGTAAGAGTTCTTATGAATTCACCAATGAGACCATTTGAATATTTTGATTGTCTCTTTCTTTCTGTACTCAGAGCCTTATCAGTTGTTTTTTATACCATTTCTTTGATATTAAGACTTGCAAATATGTTGTATGTAGTAGATAATGATCCACAAAATTTGGAGAATGCTGATGAACAACCCTCTGTTTTATAATGGAAGTCTGTTAGAGGTTTTGGTTCTCTGGCTTTAACCATTTTTTGATGGCTAGCTTTTAACTTTTAAGCTAGATGCAGGACTGAATATCACATATATGAACAGCTAAAGTGTACTGAGATGATGTCACATCATTGATATTGAAATAGTCCTTCTATATAATCAGAACGGCCATTTTGGTGAGAAAGAAGGGCAGCCTCAGAACAGTTTTTCTAATCTTTTAGTGGGCTGATGTTTTGTTCTGCTGTGAACTATACTGATATTTTTCTCACCATTTCAGTTTACACACACTAACTAAACCCACTCCCTCCCCAAATACTTGAAAATCTAATTTGCATGCTGGATAACTTTCAAATGTCAGTGATAAACTGTCGAGAGATAATCTGAGTGGGATTTAGTTTATGATAAATTCAAGTTTGTAGGTCAACAATTGCCTTTCTTTGTATGCTGTTTTTGAAGTCTATTTGTTGTTGCTATTGCATGTGCTATCATGTTTTCATTGACTTCTTGGCTAACTTGATTGTTCTCAAAAGTTAAGTCCTACAAAACCTGTTGTGCAAGCCTAAAATTCAGGATTAAAATTTTTATTGAATATTTTGCCATACAGTTAAATTCTGATTACCGCTTTGTTGTGAATAATTCAATATGATTAAAAGAGTTGCTCAAGATTCAAAATCTGTAAAAGAAGCTAATTCTTCCATTTTCTAAAGAAAATAAAACTTGGAAAAAATGAGCCAAATAATTAGGTTATTTTGGTGTGCAATCTTTTACTACTGTAATGGTTCATTTAAAAACTGCTTTAAGAATTTTGTAAGCCTTTTTATTAACCATGTTACCCTTTTACACATTGTTCTTTTGGGATATAACCCTCTAGGAAGTTTATGAAAAAGAAGTCTGTTTCACATAAGTAGGAATGGTATACAGAGTGGCAGAACCCTGACAGGCTTATGAAGTGGAAATATAGTATATCTAGAGGGAAAAACTCAGGTTTAATCCACTAGCAGCTTCTTTAATAACATTTTAAACATTGAATGCTGTGTCTGTCTCTCAGCTACAGCTTATGTTGATTCCATTATTTTAAAGAGGGCAAAAAAACACTGTTTTGAGTTTTGAGAAGGTACCAAATCTTATTTTCTATTTTTAATTGTCTTTGCAGAACAGCTTCTCAAGTTTGTTTAATGAAGTTCTCACCAGATGGAGAGTTTTTTGCCACTGCTGGAAAGGTAAACAAAAAAATAAAATGAGAAAGTTCAACATTTCCAGGAATCCTTCTATCTATCTTTACATTTTGGTAAATGAGAATTTGGTAGAAAGCTAATTCAGTAGCAAAACTTAAATTATTTACTGAATACTAATTTTAAAATTCTACTTTGCATGAATCACATTTCAGTGCCAAAGCATCAGGAAGTTAATAGTTGAGTGTGGGGAGATCTTTCAAAAAAGAAGTCGAGTAAGAGGAGCAGGAGATCTATATGGATGGGTAAGCAACTGCTAGGCAAAGTGAGCAAGAAAAAAAGAGTGTACAGCTTGTGGAAGAAGGGCCAGGCCATGTGGAAAGAATACAGGTGCATCGACAGAGAATGCAGATGCGAAATGAGGAAGGCCAAAGCCCAGGTGGAATTAGAGTTGGCGAGACAAGTCAGGGACAACAGGAAGGGTTTCTATAAGTATGTCAATAGCAAGAGGAAGACGAGGGAAAACGTTAGTGCACTGCTGAATGGGGAAGGGGCCTTGGTGACGGAGGATGCCGAGAAGGCAGAGTTACTAAATGCCTTCTTTGCCTCTGTCTTTACTGCTAAGGCGACCCCTCCATGAACTGCAGGGCTCAAGTGGAAGAGATATAAATGGGCTAGAGGAAGACCTTCCGCGGGTTGAGAAGGATTGGGTTAGGGATCACTTAGGCAAACTGGCCATGCAGAAATCTATGGGCCCAGATGGGATGCACCCAAGAGTGCTGAGGGAACTGGCCGAGGTTCTTGCTCAGCCTCTCTCCATCATCTTTGAGAGGTCCTGGAGAGCAGGGGAGGTGCCCAAGGACTGGAAGAGAGCCAATGTCACTCCACTCTTCAAAAAGGGCAAGAGGGAGGAGCCAGGCAACTACAGGCCGGTCAGTCTCACCTCCGTCCTTGGAAAGGTGATGGAGCAGTTCATCCTACAGAGAATCTCCAGGCATATGAAGGAGAAGAAGGTGTTGAGGGGCAGTCAGCATAGATTCACCAAGGGGAAGTCATGTCTGACAAACCTCATAGCCTTCTATGATGGGATGACAGGCTGGTTGGACGAGGGGAGAGCCGTGGATGTTGTCTACCCTGACTTCAGCAAGGCTTTTGACACCGTCTCCCATAATATCCTCATACGGAAGCTCCGGGAGAGTGGACTAGACGAGTGCACGGTGCGGTGGATCGAGGGCTGGCTGGATGGCAGAGCTCAGAAGGTGGTGATAAATGGGGCCGAGTCCAGTTGGAGGCCTATGGCCAGTGGTGTCCCCCAGGGGCCAGTGCTGGTTCCAGAACTGTTCAAGCTGTTCATCAGTGATCTGGACGAGGGCACAGAGGGCACCCTGAGCAAGTTTGCGGATGACACCAAGCTGGGTGGAGTGGCCGACACTCCGGAGGGCTGTGCTGCCATCCAGAGGGACCTGGACAGGCTGGAGAGTTGGGCAGAGAGGAACCTCATGAGGTTCAATAAGGACAAGTGCAGGGTCCTGCACCTGGGGAGGAATAACCCCAGGCACCAGGACAGATTAGGGGTCGACCTGCTGGAGAGCAGCTCCACAGAGAGGGACCTGGGAGTCCTGGTTGACACTAAGTTAACCATGAGGCAGTAGTGCCCTCGTGGCCAAGAAGGCCAATGGGCTCCTGGCTGCATGAGGAGGATGTTGGCAGCAGGTGGAGGGAGGGGATCCTGCCCCTCTGCTCAGCTCTGGTGAGGCCGCACCTGGAGTGTTGGGGGCAGTTCTGGGCTCCCCAGGACAAGAGGGACGTGGAGCTTCTCTAGCTCTGGAGAAGAGCAACAAAGATGATTAAGGGAATGGAACATCTCTCGTATGAGGAGAGGTTGAGTGAGCTGGGCCTGTTTAGCCTGGGGAAGAGAAGGCTGAGAGGGGATCTGATTAACATGTATAAGTTCAGGAAGGGAGAATGCAGGGAGGAAGGGGACAAGCTCTTTTCATTGGTGGCCAGCGATAGGACGAGGGGTAATGGGCATAAGCTGAAACACAGGCAGTTCCATCTCCAGGTGAGGAGCAACTTCTTTACTGTTAGGGTGACAGAGCAGTGGAACAGGCTGCCCAGGGAGGTTGTGGAGTCTCCTACTCTGGAGGTCTTCAAAACCTGCCTGGATGCCGCCCTGTGCCACATGCTGTAGGTGTGCCTGCTTGAGCAGGAAGGTTGGACTAGATGATCTCTAGAGGTCCCTTCCAACCTTGAATATTCTGTGATTCTGAGATCTGTGATGAAATAACTGCAAAAGTACCAAGTTAGTTATTCATCTGGTAAGGGTATATATTCAGTATTTCTCCCATATTGTGATACACTTATTGAAAAATAGTTCTTCACTCTTTTCTTTGTGTATACACTTGTATGGCTAACCATGTATATTTAATAGGAGAATTTGTGTTTCCTCTTAGTGGATATTCCCACATAATTAATGTCAGTGTTTGTAGCCTGTTTTACAGATTAGTTTGTGTGCTCAGCAAAGAGTGGTTTATCTTCAAAAGCAATAAAGTGACTTTGTAAAATAAACAAAAAGGTTAAAACTTTCACCACCATATCTTTTGACTTCCTAAAACTCTAAGAAATCTGTTGCTTGTGCTTAGAAAGCCATTATTCACATTTTGTAAGAAAGTAACAATCTAACAATTCAAAGCAGGGGAAATTCGGGTGGTGCAGAGGAACCATGAAAAAATGGCTAATTCACAAGAGAATTTCTCTTACTAGTGAAGAGACATGACTAAATATTTTTTTTTTGCTCCAAGTACTACGTGTTTTTTCTTCAAGAGAACACAAGACTTCTATTGCTATTGGTCAAAAAGAGTGGGTCAGTGACTTTTTGAACCCTCTTGTGAGAATTTCTCTAATTGTCAAAGTGGATCGAGGAGAAAATAATCATGTGATAGGATTACTGATTTTAGAAAAAGAGAAATCTACACTTCAATGAGTCTTTACAGGTGCACACAGTGATCAACTTTATACTGTCAACTGAAAAATATAACATTCTGCAGAATCTGTAAAATGGAAACAAAGTGAGAGTAACAATGATTATTAGGAGTAATGCTGAGGGTAATGGAAACCTCTGTCTTAAGTATCAGTTTCCCAAAATCTGAAGAGAGGTTATGAATGAATTTCAAATGTAGGAATCAAAATTGATTATGCAATTTGCTTTAGTCTATGTGAAAAGTTTGAATGGAAGATTAGTATGCGCATGTAAAGATCAGTTAGGAGAGTGTTTAGTTTAGCTGTAGTAGGCTTTTTTTTCTTTCTACTTGAAGCGTAATGTCCTCACATTCATGCTCCTTGAAGCATAATGTCCTCACATTATGCTACTTGAAGCGTAATGTCCTCAGATTCAAGGATGTTTAAAATCACAACCAAACACAGCTTTAAAAGGAAATCTTTTATACTTTTTTTGGTGAATCAATTGTATGTATCACATACAGATGAATAAGGCATTTTGCATGTTATCTTTAAACTTGCCAATCTTTTGCTATCTTTGAAGAAGAGAGGAAGATGTAAAAAAACAGCTTAAGTTGTAAAAACAACTTGTAGATTTCTTCAAGGTATATTTCAATTAATTCAAGTATGTAAGTGTAAAATACTGGACTTGATTAATTTTGCTGTGTATAGTAAAGAAACATGAGGTTCCTTTATTCCTTTCTTGTTTTGTTTGTTTAGAAGAACATATTGCTATATGTCATATGATGTCTTTAGCTATTTACTGTCTGAAAGAAGAGTTATTTTAATCATGTTTAGAGTAACTTATAAGCTTTTTCAAATACAGGTTTTGACAAAAATAAAAAACAAAACCACAAAATCATAGTATTTTCTTTTTCTTGACGATAAGCATAATGTTTTCATGGATAATGATTAGTATTACTTTAAAAAATCTACATATGAAGTTGTAGTATGATTGAATTAGGGAAAAGTAAATTAATCTGCAAATGGCTGTCGATATAGCATCCCTGTAATGTATTTATGACTGAAAAGTTTTATGTTCTGTAGTGGTCTGTTATATTAAAAAGTCGAAGTATTACTATAACTAAGTCAATGGGAAAATTAATAGACAAGTCTTTAAGTGACTGAGTTAATTATGTACTTGAAGAATCTTTTGAATGTATCTTTTTTCATGGTTTTTGGTGTTCAGAGATGCAAGTTTTTTTATCAAAGATATAAAGCAAAGTGCAAAACAAAATGAACTTAGATTTTGGGTCATAGATTAAGCATATTAAAGTCAGTAGAATTTTTCAGTGCTATTTATATTTAATAGTTTGACAGCTTAGAAATCTTTGTCTAGATGAATATCCTAAAATTCGAAACTATGTGTAGTTTTTTTTTCTTCATAGGTTTCTCTCAAGTACAGTAATAAGTTAACATTTGTATTATCATTTGAATTCCAGCTCGATGCAGTGTAACTTGAGTTTTTTTATTAGCTTTTATGCAAAACTGATGTTCTCTAAAAATCAGCGTGTACCCAGAAAGGGAAAAATGAAATTAATATAATAATTTCAAGATATATTAACAAGATATGTTAAGGGATCTGCCAGCATGTTATTTTTTTATTTATTTAAATGAATAGGTTTGGAAATTTCAAGGGGGTTTTTTTGTGTGTTTTTTGTTTGTTTTGGTCTTTTTTTGCTTAGCTCAATTTCCTGTCATCAAGAAAATACCTTGAAGGAAAAAAAAGGGGAGGGGGGGGGGGGGGAAGGGGGGAAAAAGGGGAGGAAAAAAAAAAACAAAAAGAAAATAAGAAAATGAGGAGAATATCAGAAATTTTATTTTAGTTTTAGTTTAGTTTAATTGAGAAACTTCACAAGAGGCATTTCATATTTCTCTTTAATATTAATTTGGTTGCCTACCTGGGAGGTGAATGATTTGGTAAGCCTGTTTTTATCTGTTCTTGTTCAGGATGATTGTCTTGTGAAAGTATGGTACAATGCAGACAGCTGGAGGTCATCTGTAACACCTCCTGGTGCAAGTCCAGGAAAACAAGCACAAGAAGTTGATTTTTCATTTGTTTATTTGGCCCATCCTCGATCAGTAAATGCATTTTCGTGGAGGAAGACCAGCAAATTCATGCCACGGTTAGTAGTGCCAACAACTTCAAGTTTGTAAACTGTCCAGAGGAAGTGAGAATACTTTGGACAGAACTTTGAGTTTTTCATTAAGCTCTTCTGTTGAAGTGGCCCAGTCTGTGTAGGTGATGTTGTTGGTTTGGTTTCCTGTTAAACCTGGTTTAAATTGTAGTTCCATGATCTTTGAACATCCTAATGCCATAAGTAGTATAGGAATCAGTAGACATTCAAATTCAGCATTTGTGTTTGATAAATGTATGTTTTCTCTTTTAAATAGAAGACTCTTAAAGCTATTGAAGTAGTGCTTAAGTTGATTTTTGAAAATCCACTTATTCTCTGTTGCCTAAGGGAGTTGACTGCTGAACAGAACCATCAAATGCTCTGTCTCCTTTTAGAATCTTAAAGCGTAATCGTTAACTTAGATAAGCTGAAAATCAGAGGATATGTAATAGTTCTTGCAGAGCTTAGTTTAGACTAATTGAAATCTTTGGATATGTATATTATGATTATACTTCTAAATAGAATTTATATTAGAAGATATGAAAGCTTAACCTTTGCAGTTATATTCTTGATATTATGCTGATTTCTCTGATGTAGCTATGTGGTTTTGTAACTGTTGTACCCTAGCATGGATAAATGACAGTAGGACTGCAAGAAACAATTAGCTTTTATTATTATTATATGTTGTAATAGATTGTGTATATATATAGGAAGCTTACTAATTTTGAATATTGAACGTAAATTTAATGTGCAGTTGTATAATGCTTTGACATAAGAAAATTACTTAACTGTTCAAGCTTCTGAATATATGTTGCTTATCAAAGCTTATTGTGTATGACTCGTTGGCTAAATTTTACCCATTACCTTTGAGGTAATTTGTCCTGTTACCTAATAATACATTGAGTGTTTCTTTCCCTAGTATCTAAGTTATTTTGTTATCCTTTTTCTAGTAGCATCTCGTGTCTACTCATAGCTACTATCTAGTTATGAATATTGGAAAATTTATTGGAAATAATTTGTTACTGTTCTATTTTGATGTTATATGATGCAAATGGCGTATATAGACCTTATGTTTTATTTTGTTAGTGGTGCTGTCTGCAACGTGCTCCTGACTTGCTGTAAGGATAATGTATGTCGTCTCTGGGCAGAGACTTTGTTACCCAATGATAGTCTGTTGTATGGTGGTGGATACAATAATTGGACTGAAGGAATGAACTTAAATAACTTCAAGAGAAATACTTCAAGTAAGGAACGAATGCAAAATGCTTTAGAGGTAAGAATTTGAGGAGACTGACACGTATTTTTAGACAAGATTGTAAGTAATATCTCAAGCCTTTGTCACAAATAGAACTACTTTATACAGACTTTATGGTATGAAGTAGTGGATTTATTTGAAATTTCCCCCATGTGCTTATCTAACAGAAAATAGTAATGCTGAGCTGAGAGCAGTCCTTCTGAATTTTCATATTAGAAGTTCTGAGACTGTACAACTACTGTGTATTTTACTGTGGTCACTGAAGCAAGGAGCTTTGTAATATCTAGTAGTTTGAAGAGCTATGGACAATATGGAATGGCGTATTGTACATGAGTTATGTGAAGCCCACTAATGCTGTTTTCAGCAAGTAGAGGTTTGCTTGTCTTCTCAGGAGTTGTGAGATATTTTCTGGCCTATGCATTTGGAAAAAAAACAGTGATCATATGGAGGAGAAGAAAGTTTTCTGCTGCTATATTCCTCAGATAGAGCAGGCTGCTCCTAAACCATCTCTAAGGGAAATGATCCTTATTAGCTAGTCTATCAATGGGAAGCAGAAAGAAAAATATAGCATTAAAAGTTTGCAAAGCTGCGTAGAGCATAAAGAGAGTTTCTGGACGTTGTTCTCCTGTCTTAGTGCATTCATGTGATCCGTCTGCTCTCTTAGGCAACGTGGCTTAGTTGAGTACAAGTTAAACGGAAAGACAATTCAGTCAAGAAAGACTATTCAGAGTAAAGGTGAAGTTAGGGAACAATTTCGTGTTCCTGCTTAAAATAAGGTATAACATTAAAGATCAGAAATAACCTTTAGGTAAAATCATGAGAAACTATTTTCCATGAGTATGGTATAGTAGAAGACTAGAATTATCAAGTGTAAAGGAATATAAAGTAGGTAATGCGAAGCTAGTACAAGTCTTTTCATACTAGTAGAAATTTAATTTTCCAATTTTCCTTCTGGTAGAAATCTTTTCATACTTCTTATACTTGTATGTATAACTATAGCAAAATGGACTGGACCTCTGTACTGTGTTGTGTGTGATGGTTTTTAATACTGGCATACTTTGTTTTAAAAATTAAACACCTCAGAATATAGTAAAAGTATTTATAAAGAAACCATAAAATATTAGTATTATTTTACTGCAGATACGAGCAAAGTGATTTTTGAAAGCAAATCTACCACTTACAGATGAAATCTGCTTTTTCTTTTTGCAAGGAATTTAAAATGACACCTTATTCTTCATGCAGTTAAACCTGAGGCACTTCCGACGGGGTAGGAGGAGGTCGGGTGCTGTAGTAGCACATACTGGATACTCTCCGCATCAGCAGGATCCTCATGAAGTTCACAGGAACATTCCTCCTCATGCAAATGCACTCTGTCACTTTCATATTGCTGCCAGCATCAATCCAGCCACAGGTAAGAAACCCAGTAAATGATTGCTACGGGATAATCTATAGTTCTTATTAGAAATGCGTTGCTGCATAAGCTTAACTTGCTCAGATATGTTTGTAAATATTCATACAATTGTGCAAGTTCCATAGTATGTTGGTTTCATACATTGAAGAGCTTAAGTAATGAAATGCTTAGAATTAATTTTTTTCTATAGTAAAAATCAAATAAACTTAGACTTTCATTTCCTTCAGAAGTTTAAAATTTGCTTGCATTTGAACATTGTGGTTATAGCACTAAAGAAGAGCTCCTCGAAGAACTAATGCTTCTGCTGTTGTAAATTTTCTGTATGTTCAAATTGTCTACTCATTGAAAAAGTGAATAGAAAACATACTTAGTATGTTTTTTTTTTTCTGATTTGCTAAGCTCTATGTTATTGTTTAACTTCAAGTTTCTTTAACAAATGTGGCCGGAATTGTATAAAACGTACCAAAAATTACTTTAAGCTGTTTGTGCAGCAGCATCATCAAGCCAATTCCTGCAGAGAATGTCTCAATTCTGATACGTCACTTACTACCTAATGCCATAAAGAAGGTTTTCTGTGTGACAGCTCTTGGAGACTTGAAGTTCTCTTGCTGACAGTTCGGTATCGTCAAATGTATACAATGAGCAAATAAAATTTTTCATGTGCTTAACACACTCTATACTCTTGTATACACAGACAGAAATGCACATGTACTCTTCATGCATTTCTGTTTGTACATAATGACTAAGTAGTCTTTAATTTGGCTCTTAATAGTCTTTGCGGTATAATCAAGTCAAACTGTCAATTTACAGAGTGGGAATGGAAATAATTTTGAAGAATGGTAAAAGATTTTTCTTGGTGTCTAAGACTTAGCTCTCTTTGACCTTTTAAATTTAATTTTTTTTTGTTTTCTGCATTGGTTAAATCCTGCATGATATTATTGCTGTCAGGTTGTTGTTGTTTGTTTGTTTTAGTATCTCTTGGTCTCTAACTCCTTCAGTAGATTTGAGACATAAGGCATTTTTCTTTAATATTTTATTTGGAAACCTTGTCTCATCTGTTCTATCTCGCAGCCAATTTCCTAAACACCTCAGTCCAGTCATATTCTTGAAGTACTACTTTTAGTTTATTCTATATGAATCAAATTTTATCTGTAAACAAAGTCGTATTTTATTTCATTTATTTCCAACAATTATTTGTGATCTTTCATTCTACAATCTACGCTTATTACAGTATTCAGAGTATCTTATAAAAACGCCAAAGCAATCACATACATCACAGAAAGGAGAACTTTATTCATTTATTTATTTTTTAAAATAGTTTTCTTATAGTGAAAAAATTCTTGAGATTTTCTGTTATGGTAAAGAGTTAATTCAGCTCGGGTGGAGTTCAGTGAGAGGAATAAGAAGTTGTTTGGACAAATTCGTATTTAAGGAAAGCTTGAAAGAGTTACTGGTTTTTATTTTTGATTGTTTTGGGTTTTTTTCAATCCGAAGGTTTTTGGAAAGAACAAGTGTGGTTCTGAAGTAAGTAGAAATTCACTAGCTGAAGATTTTGGCCAGAAACGAGCATCGATTAAATCTTCAAGTGGGCATAGTAGTCTTAGAACTGAACTTTTGAGCATAAGTAATTCAAAGGTATGACTAGTATAAAAAAAAGTTAATTGGAGTAAGAAGTATTTTGTCTCTCAGGAGCTGGAAATTATGTGCTGATGCATGAATAGTGAGTAGAAGAAGATGAGAACAGAGAGACTTGTAGGTGTGAATTTAATGTAGTCTGAGCATTTAGGTATTGCTGTATGACCTATTTGAGAAATCACAGTATAGCACCTAGCCTTTTTTTTTTAAACATTTTGCAGAAATGATATGACTGCATTAGTTTAATACTTGTTTTTGTCACTTCCGCTTTGATTTTTTGTCAGTTCTTTATTTTTAACGACCACCTGTCACACCAAGTAACATCATATGGCAATGTAAGTAGTAAGAGGATTGATAAGAATCTGAAACCCTGGCTATGTGATAGTGTTACAGAGGACATACCTGGTCACTGTATTAATTCTGCCTAGCCATCATACATGATTCTTGGTATCAACAAAGAATTACTGTAGCTGTCTTTCTCAAGTAAACATCAGCAAACTACGTTGAAATTATTTGGTCTGAACTGAGCTGAAGCAGTAAAAGCTAAGGTAGGTAAATTAGCTAGGTAAGCTAATCTGTATGAAGAGTGTTGTCATGAATATGTACCAGGGTCATACAGTAACCTTAACGTAAATATGGCTGAGAGCTTCCCTTAGAATATGGTTATTGTGCACACTGTCTCATGGATAACAACCAGAGTAATACTACTAAAAGTGGATGATCCTGAAAGGGTTGACAACTAGCAATACACTTACTCCCAACTGCTTTTTCTTTCGTAGCAGAACTTCTGCTTAAGAACTCCTTTCCTAAAGTTCTTGTCCTGCTCAAACTACACTATTTTGAAAAATATTTTTACCATCTCTTCTGGCAGATATTCCTCTACTTCCTTCTATCACATCTCTGAGTCTTGGTGAAAATGAAGAAAAAAATGGACCTTTTGTTGTGCATTGGCTCAACAATAAAGAGCTTCATTTTACTTTATCCATGGAAGTGTTTTTGCAACAACTTAAAAAGAGCTTGGAACATCACTCTCCTGAGACCAATGCTGAGGAATTTAATCAAGTGGATGGCAAATCAGAAGAAGGTAAAGGCTGTTGACTTTCATATTATAAAATAATATGTAATATTCTTCATTGTGAAATACAGGACGAATAACAAAGTATTATAAGCATTCATGTAGATTACAATATCATTTCTGTGCATTTCCTTCCTTTCCACTGAAAATACCTAAATGACTTTTTATATTAGAAATGCTGATTTTGTTGAACATTTTTTTTCTTGTTTGTTTGTTTCAGTACATTGTGTTGAACATTGTCACTTTAGCTTTTTAGCTGGCCCTGAAGCCTTTTAAGTTGAAGTGTTATTTTAATGATTTTAAGCAAGCTGATAAAATCTGAGCACTAAGATGTTGGTTTTTAATATTAAAACATCCCTAATTTAACCAGTTCTATTATGTTATATAAACTATTTATCTAATTTTACATTATTGGGAGATGACTGTATGTGTTCTGCCTGTGCATTCATGAATTTCTTTTTTCTCATTGACTGAGGTCTGCAGTATAACTTCTAGTTTGAATTCTTGTCATTTCAAGTTGTGCTACCATGAGTGGTTTTGAAGAAGCTTTGAAAGTTGCTCCATTGCCTGCTCTGTATCTGTGAATATATATCTCTGTGTGTTCTAGCAGCTAATGAAAATGGAGCTGAACAAAAAGGAAACCAAGAAAAGAGGGAACTGGGTGATGAGAAGACAACTCCAAGTTCAAACATTATTCCTTTATCCTCTGCAATTATTGATCATGAAATTGAAGTACTGCTTTCTGAATGGAGTAAAAATGCTGACATGCTTTTCAGTATACATCCTATGGATGGTTCGTTGCTAGTGTGGCATGTGGACTGGCTGGATGAATATCAGCCTGGCATGTTTCGCCAGGTGCAGGTACTTTATTTTTTTAGATTATTCTTTGTTACTCAATGAGAGTTATGCTGTGAGAATAATTTTAGTTCTTTCTCCTTTTCTTTCCCTCTCCCCTTGCCCCCTCCCCAATTTCTAGGTGTCATTTGTCTCAAGAATTCCAGTTGCATTTCCAACAGGAGATGCCAATTCTCTTTGCAGAAGTATAGTGATGTATGCTTGTACCAAAAATGTTGACTTGGCTATTCAGCAAGGCAAACAGAAGCCCCCTGGCCTTACGCGATCCTCTTCTATGCTTATCTGTTCCGGACACAGTAAATCAACCAACAGTTTAAAATTAAGTATCTTCACTCCCAATGTTATGATGATTTCCAAACATGCTGATGGATCTTTGAACCAGTGGCTAGTGAGCTTTGCTGAGGAATCTGCTTTTTCAACTGTACTCAGTATTTCACATAAATCTAGATATTGTGGACACCGTTTTCATCTTAATGATTTGGCGTGCCATTCAGTATTGCCACTGCTGCTGACAACCTCACATCACAATGCTCTGAGGTCACCAGATACTGAGAATGCAAACCAGACAAGTGACTCTGTAAAATCTCAGGAGTCACCACTAAGACATCAGAATAGAGGCAATACGAGCGTTGCATCCCAGGATCCCAATGCAGTTTACAGTGAGCTTATTCTTTGGCGAGTTGACCCTGTTGGGCCACTGTCCTTTTCTGGTGGAGTTTCTGAACTTGCTCGGATCAATTCCCTCCATGTTTCTGCATTTTCTAATGTTGCATGGCTGCCTACGCTTATACCCAGCTATTGCCTCGGTGAGTTTAGTTTCCTGGCTTCTTCAAGGGTAAAATTGATTTTGCCTATAAATGCTTTTAAATAGGTGATACAGATATATCTTAAAGTATCTAAGAAGTGTTAAACTTGGACCTATTATTTCACACTTTCCCAAGCTGCTGATGGTTTGAACTTGTCCTTCTGTGAAGACTCAAGGTGTTCTTTCTTCTACTGTTATATGTATCAGTGTGTAATTGATATCTTAGGAGTTAAAGCAGTGCAGTTCTTAAATACTAGTGTATGTGTTGGGTTATGAATATCTCAACAATTATTGCAGAATAATTGTCAACACTCAACAGAGATAGACTTTGCTGGTGAGTCATTCTGATTTTCAATAACTTTTTTGCCTATCACAGCATTGAACTTAATAGTTTTCACTTCTGAGTAGTAATGAGGAATATTTTTGTTATGTTTTTTTCTTGATAATTTCAAAATTGGCTTTGTCCTGGGTGACTGTTCACTATACACACGCACTTTTTGCATTTGTATTTTTTCAGGTGCGTACTGTAATTCTCCAAGTGCCTGCTTTGTGGCTAGTGATGGACAGCATTTGAGATTATATCAAGCTGTAATAGATGCTAAAAAGCTTTTGTGTGAGCTCTCCAATCCTGAAATTTCTGTAAGTGAAACCTATTGTAAGTTTCTGGAGGCTGTAAGTTAATTCCGTAGCATGAGTTTCTGGCTTGCTGACAAGAGACCAGATTTGTGATGGAGGGTTCTGCAGACTGTGATAGCTTAGCTCCTCTTGTTGTGATAGGAGATGTGATAAAAATTTCTTAGCATTGTAGCCATGCTGTATTCCATTTAATCTTGATCAGAGAATCAGGTTAGTACCTGTTTGGGAAATGGTTGTAAAACACACCACATAGTGTAATAACTGAGTAGGAAAGACTGTACTGTGGGCTTCCTAAGAAAAGGACAATAAACTGCTACTTTTAATGCTTTCCAGGTGAGACCTACAAGCCCTGTAGCTTCTGACCATCATAAGATTCTTGGGGAAACTAACATGCTATGAAATTTCGTAGTGAACTGCAACCTATTTAGAAATACACAAGTCTGAATTAACAGGATTGTCTCACAGCTCTTTTCCTTTTGTTTGGCAGAAGTATGTTGGTGAGGTTTTTAACATTGTAAGTCAGCAATCTACTGCCCGTCCAGGATGTATTATTGAACTGGATGCCATAACAGAACTTGTAAGATCTTTCATATTCTTCCTATAACATTGCTATCTTGTTTAAAATGTATTTAAAAAATGAAAGTGTATACCTGCTTTTAGTTTCATAATACCTGTAAATGAAGAAAACTTTCGTAACGAAACTGCCTTTTATCAGGAAAGCTTTAATTGACGTGTTGTTTGTTTGTTTGTTTTAGCACGGAAGGAAAACACAATTGTTTCATGTTTTTCAAGAAGACTTTATTTTAAATAACCAGGAAAAGGAAACATCTGAAATGAAAAGCAAGTTATCAGAATCTGGTAAAGAAATCTTTTGCGCCTGTAGAATGAAAAAAATGTTATACCTGGTCTTTGACATTTGTTCTGTGAAAAAGAACCTTTGCATTTCAAGATCAAGGATATTTATCCAAGATCTTAATATACCAAAGAAGTACCACTTAAACTTTAGACAAAATGACTTGTATTGCAGTAAACATTTTGTTGCTGGTAACTTTGTTAGAACAAAGGAGGGAAGGACATGTGGATGTTACGTAACTAATTTTAGAATATATGGTTCCTTACATCTTTGGGTGATTGCTCTTTGCACTTGAGTAGATGATTGGTTCTGCTTGGTAAAGTGGGTTAATTGCTTAGCTATTTAGGCATCTCAGTGGTTCAGAGTTCTCATATGATCTGAAAAGCAAGACTTAGAATAACAAGACAACTTGTGATACTAATAATTCGAGGTTGTAAAAGAAAGGCTAAAAAAAAAAAAAAGAAAAAGTAACAGTCTCAATGTTGGGAGTAATTATATGGTACAAGAAACTTATTTTGTAGTTGGGAAATCTTGGGGAAAGTGACCTTATGTGTATACAGACGTTGAATTCTGAATTAGTGCTATTACTCCTAAAGAAATGGAGTAAAGGAGGTAAACCTGTGAAAGTGGTAAGCCTGCCGCTCAAAAGAGTTCAAAAACGCATATGGAATGCTGGAAATTTAGAATAGAGGACAAAATAGAAAAGCTAAGCTGTAGCTTTAGTTTGTTTGACTGTTGCATCTTGAATACAATGTGGAAAACAGTCTCTGAAAGAAACACAGATACTGCTCTAAAGCCTTGATTAGAGGAACAACTGGAACTTTACAAGTTCTCAGCTTGGAAAAGGGAGAGGGAGCTGAATACTTATAGATGTACTTAGTCATTTGGAGGTCTAAAAATGTGATATTCACAGAGAAATGAGTAAGAAAAGATTATTCACTGGATATTACAGTGCAAAAGTGAAAAGATGTGAGAAGAAACTAGTAGGTGGCAAGCTGAAAGTGATTAGAAGTAATTTTCTGCTTGGTAAATAAGCACAATTCCACAAGAATGTTGTGGATATTGGATATTGAAAGATTTAAAAGATTTACTTAAGGTCACGATAGAATAGAGTAAAATCTGTGAAAGACCATTTAAAAACAAAGAAGCAGGGTGGTTTTTTTGTTTTTTGTTTTTTTTTGAAACTTACCAAATTGAAAGTTGGAAAGTGGAGAATGTGCCACTATACATACCTGCTTTCCTAAGCATCCAGTACAGATCATTGCTGTTTTAAAACTGAGGAGTCCAGTTAGCTCAGTTTCTAAAATCCCACCGCCTCCTTTCCTCTTTAATAACGCTTATAAGAATTTAGCTCATGTTGTTTAATAACTGGTTCACCTCATTTTATACAGTAACATAAGTTAAGCAGTAACTTACAAGGCTAATAAAGCTTATTCTTCATCACGTTTTCTGGATATGTACCAACAGGAAAGTCCGAAATCATGGAGAAAAGATGGTACATGCTAGTATCACTAAACTAACTCTATGCTTTGGTCCTAAGGAGCTTACTTTGGTGCTGTGTAAAGAGAGTGATTGGAAAGTGTCTCCAGAAATGAGCTCCTGCCAACATAACAATTCATGCCTTCTTTTTTTGATGGCAGCAGCTATACATAGCGCTTGATGTTCTTATGTAGAAGCCTCTTACTTCTTTTGTTTCCAAGACTAATCAATTTGCTTGGGCTCTGTTGAAAGGATCTGTTCATTAGACCAACATGTGACCTACCCAGCTCTTGATACGGCATTGTCTAGTTGGATGTGATTCGTGTAGTTTTTATACATTAAACATAACAGCTGTAGACTGTCAGAGCAAATCTACATATAGCTCACTGTTTTACCTCTTACATTGGCTGGTAGCAGATACCTATGGAAGTGTAAGAGAGAAGGACAAACATGCAGAGTTGTTAATATTTTCTGTGACTTGCCATAACTTGCTATAGATTGAAAACTAAATGTTTTATCATTTGAAACAGAAAATATTAACAATTTGAAGTATACACATGTATGCGTGCGTACGTACACATACCTATAATCAACTTAATGGTTATTATTTTTGTTGAAATAGGGAGGAGGAACTATGGTTGTTGCTCCAAGCTGTGCAACAGACAGCTATAGCCAGACAGCTATAGCCAGACTATTACATTTGAGTATCATTTGAATATGATTATTTGCAAGCCAGTAAAAGTCAATGTTTTGTTTATTTCTATAACTCCTAAGATGTCTTGTTCTGAATTTCATCAGGAGGCCAACATAATGGATTTTCTGAAAAATTCTACTTAATAGTAATAGAATATACTCAAAGCCACTCATTACTGCACATGTGGCACTTACACTTGAAGTCAATTCCTGTCTCAATAGGTAAGCCCTTTAATTTTGAATATAGAAGCAAAGCAAAAAAGTGATTGTAATAAAGCCGAACAGTTTGGACATAGTTTGCTTCTGAATTAGAAGGTCTGCAATTTAGAAGTTTGTACAAGTTCTGAATTGTGATGTAGTTGCTCTGAAGCAAATAATCATCAGAAATAAAATAATGAGCTGTCCTCTTCTGGTTCTCTGTGAAGCTAATATAAAAACCTTTGCAGTAAGCTAAGATACACTTGAGTAATTTTGTGTCAATCTCTATAAATTAAGGAAATGTAGTATTTACTGTAAATCAGAGGAATCTGTTATGATGCATGGTCTATTGTTTAAGCTATATTCCTACTTTAAGTGTTCATTTTCATGAATAGGAATGAAAGTTTCATATCTCATAATCCCCTAATAATTTTTAAATCCCATATCCTATATCCTATAGTAATTTTAAAATGTTAAAAGTATTAACAAAACTGTTCTGGAAAATACTTTTATTCAGTTTAAATTAAGACTCTGAGTTTACATTTAGATTTCGCCAGCTATTGTTATTTTGTGCCTCATGAGTATTAATTTCAATGGATACCTCAGATATATATCTTCAGCAGTTTTGCTGTTTCTATTTTACAATTTGATTGCCTTGAATCTGAAGAGTGTTTAAAGTTAGAATTTGAAGCAGTTTTGGAACGTTTCTAAATATTTAATGTAGGGGGTGTGCTAATACTTTTTTTTGAATGCGATTTTAGCAATATTTTTCATTATCATGAAAGTAAAATTTCAAGTCTGTAGTTTAATCCCTCTTTTTGGAGTGTTAAAATAACTTATTATATATTTGAAGAAATCCATCTGACTGTCTTCCAATGGAAACTCTTTTTTTTAGATGAAAAGATGGATTCAAATACAGATGAAGCAACAACGCAGCAAGAAGGATTATATTCTTCACCAGATCCAGAGAAGATACAGTCACCTTTCACTCAGAAATATCAGGCTTGTAAAGCAAACCTTCAGAGCACGAGCTGGCTTACTCTTGCCTCAAAAATGGTTTATAGTCAAGAGCTGAATTTGCCAGAAGGAGTGGAGATTATAAGTGTTAAGCCATCAGCAGGTTTGTAAGTTTGTTTTAGAAAGAATAAAATAAGGAATTATTGCCATTCTGTAGGTTTATTGGCAAAATACTAGCTTGCTATTTATACTTACAATTGAAAACCTGCAACTGAATCTAAAAGGCTTGATAAAACATGATGCCTGAAATTCCTGAAATTAATGATAGTATAAAGCATTTATGTAAGGCATAGTATTTATGGACATATAGATTCTGCAAATAATAGAATTTCTAGTACCATAAGTTTGGGTTTGCAAACCATCATAAAATTGTATTTATGAGATCCTCTCCTATAAGCTCTTCAGATTTCTGAGATAAAATATTTGTCTGGTGGGAAATGACAATAAATGTCTATTAAAATCATACCGTTGAGATTATAAGTGAGGATTTTATTTTCTCTTACAGTGTAATAATTTGTAATAACAAGCCTAACAAGTTATGTGTTTTATCCCTGCATGTTAATGTTAGCTCCTTTCTAGAGAATGAAGTGGGAAGGAAGGTAAAATGGGTATTTCTGTCGTCTTGTGTTTGGTTTGTTAAATTTGTCCTAATAGTTTTTGTTTCAGAGTGGAGAAGTGCTAAGTATTATGATTCTTATCTTTGATTTGTATTCTAATGTTATGCTGTTAAAATGTGTTTTTTTTTTTTTTTTTTTTTTTTAAGGACATCTGAGTTCCTCTTCCATATACCCTGTTTGTCATGCCCCTTATCTACTGGCTACTTCGTGCTCGGATGGGAAAGTTCGGTTCTGGAGATGCAGAGTGACCACTGAATCATCAGCTTCTTGCATGCCAGAATATAATGTACACAGTGATGTTGCATATATATGGGAAGAATGGCCATTGCTGATTGAGGATGGACTTCTTAGTAGTAGTGCCATTAATGTTCCAGGAAGGCCAGTTGAAGTTAGTTGCGCGCACACAAACAGATTAGCTGTAGCATACAAGCAGACAACATATAAAAACAGTCACCATTCTCAAGACTTTATTATGGATGTTAGTATTTTTGAATGTGAATCTACAGGAGGCTCTTCTTGGATACTTGAGCAAACTCTTCATTTAAATGAAATAGGCACCATGTTAGACTCTGCTATGAGTATTGATAGTAATTTAGTGGCACACAACCGACAAGAGGTTTGTCTGTCTCATAGTGGGAATGTTATACCCAGCACTAAGCACTTGATTCACTTAGACTGGATGTCTAGGGAAGATGGTTCACATATTCTAACAGTGGGAATTGGATCAAAATTATATATGTTCGGACAGCTCTCTGGGAAGATGCAAGAACAAAATGGTAAAGAACCTGTAGCAGTCTCTCACTGTGGCAATATGAAGACTTCAGCTCTCTCTAGGTTTGTTCTACTGCGTTGTGTTGAGTTGATTTCTTCTGTAGAAGGGTCACCACCTTTTCCAGTCTCCTTGTCTTGGGTGCGAGATGGCATTCTTGTAGTTGGAATGGACTGTGAAATGCATGTTTATTCTCAGTGGCAAACTCCTTCCAAGCAAGAACTAGTTAGTATGGATTCTTGCAGTGGAAGTATATCGTGTATAACAAGCGTAATGAAACAAAGCCAATCAGCTGCCTCAGATCTGCATCCACCAAAACGAACCTTGACCAGGTCTATGACCAGCCTCGCACAGAAACTTAGTGGGAAAAGAACTGCTTTTGATCTCTCTGCAGAAATGGAAGACTCTGGTCTTTTTGAAGCAGCTCATGCATTATCTCCCACTTTACCTCAGTACCACCCATACCAGTTGTTGGAGCTCATGGATCTTGGTAAAGTACGCAGAGCAAAAGCCATTCTGTCCCATCTGGTTAAATGCATTGCTGGAGAAGTTGTTGCTATAAATGAATCTGAACCCAATCACGATAGGAGACTCAGATCTCTTACCATCAGTGCTAGTGGAAGCACTTCAAGAGATCCCAAAACATTCAGCAAAACGGAGAACACGGACTACATTGAAATAGACTCAGTTCCACCACTGCCTTTATATGCTTTGCTTGCTGCTGATGATGACTCTTCTCATTCAGAAAAGTCTAATAATCTAAATAATCAAAATAAAGATACACCCAATGACAATTACGAAGATCTTTTTCACAGTTCTGTTGTAAGTACAGATGAACTTGTAGTATTTGATGCAGAGGAAGATAACACAAAACCAAAGGTCATTGATCTTTCTCAGTATAGTCCAACTTATTTTGGGCCAGAGCATGCTCAGGTTCTTTCTCGTCACTTGCTTCATTCAAGCTTACCAGGTCTCACTAGAATGGAGCAAATGTCATTGATGGCCTTGGCAGATACAATTGCTACTACTAGTACTGACATTGGAGAAAGCAGAGACAGAAACCAGGGTAAGTTTTCTCTCTCAAATCAGATGTAATACTATATTTCACAAACTTTATTTGGAAGCTTTTTCTGTTACTTCTGAATTTGGTAATCTTGCTGAAGTGTGTGATAACTTTGTTTTGTAGTTTTCTTGTATTTATTATACCAATGGAGATTTATCTGAAGTTTCTCAAGACTTTTACAAAACAAACTCTCTATTGGCAATTGCTCATGCAATTGATTTGTTCCTTTAGTCTACAAACCATAATTGTTTCAGTCATTTGTTAAGAACAGACTTTCAGAGCCAGTATTAGTTGTTCTCTCTCTGCAAAAACAAGAGAAAATAGATTTTCTCATTTGATAAAACCATTTATCCGGTGTATGGCTTTTGCTTGTTTGTTTTCCTAAAACAAGTAATTTCACAATGTGAAGTTGTGAGGTTTTACTTGTTTTGAGCAGACTATTTTTCATATACTTAGACTTAAAGATTTAAAGTACCAACAGTCATAGAATTGTAGGGTATTTTTTCTTAAGCAATTCAAGCTGGTTTTAATAATTCTCTTAAACAGCATATGAACATATTTAATTCCAGGTGGAGAAACTCTTGATGAGTGTGGCTTAAAGTTTTTGTTAGCTGTTCGGCTTCACACATTCCTGACAACCTCACTCCCTCCTGTACATCGAGCTCAACTGGTTCATCAAGGTAACTGGTGTGTTTTGTTAGGTCATGTCAATCTTAAACAGTGAAGCAGCTGTGAGTGGGATTGCTCTGTTCTTTGTGTGCCTCTGCAGAGTTAATGAGAAAATTATGATGGGGTGTTTTCGGGTGTTTTATCCCACCCCAATTGTTCATTAAGAATGTGTGTAAGAGCATAAAATGCCTGTTACCCCTCAGCTGAGATTGGAGCTTGCCGCATGCCCCAACATTGGTGAGCCAGCTGTCTGTTGGTGTCTGGGTTTACTGGTGTGCTGTTGCTGTATCTGCACTGCACCCCTGCCTTCTGCTGAGCTTGGAATTGATGAGTCAGAAGTGTCTCCGAGGCACCTGCACAGCTGCATTTTGGAGTGCCTCTGTGCAAAGCAGCATCCTCTGGCCCTTATGGGTTGTAGTTTGATCCATAGCCTCCTGTGTTGCTGGCTAATAAATGCTATCTCCTTCAGATCATGTTTTATTCTTTTTTTTTTTTCTTCTGTTTTCCTTTTGTGTGCCTATATCGTTTTCTCCCAGAATAATCCCAAATTTCACATTCTCCAAGCCATTCCAAATCATACCAATTAAGGTAATTTTTGCAACTTTAAAGAGTTAAATTAAGTGGTTGCACTTTGTATGTACATAGCTACATAGCTAATCTTAATGCCTTGCAAGAAGTAGATTTTGAAATTTAATTATTCATTGTGTTCCTTGACAAATATGTAATGAACAATTTGCCAGTGAAAAAATGTTTTCATCTGTAAGGCAAGTTCTTGAATATCTTGTATTGTGAAATCTGATGAAGTACTTGATCCAAGATAAACAGTTCGATCTTTTTCTGTTCTCCCTGTCCTGCATCCCTTTAACTTATGTTATGAAGTACTTTAATAGTAATAAAAAGTAATAAGTAATAATAGTAATAAATTGTATTTATTAAGAAATAAATAATAATATAAGCATATAATATACAAAATATAAATTATATATATTTCTATATATATAAATATAAAACATTTAGTAATATAATGTATTCTTTGCCCTTCTTACCCCTTCTCTCTCTTACTGTAACGTGCAATAATCTAGGCTTGTCTACTAGTCATTTTGCCTGGGCATTTCATTCAGTAGCAGAAGAAGAGCTACTGAGCATGCTACCAGCAATGCAAAAAGGCGAGCCAACATGGTCAGAACTCAGAGCTATGGGAATAGGATGGTGGGTCCGAAGTATCCGTAGCCTGCGGAAATGCATGGAAAAGGTAAATACGATATTCTGGAGCATTTTTTTTTCAAATAGCTTTCCTCTGGTGTTTATTGTCTGTGAATATAGTGATGAATTATGGGCTAGAATAAGTGCTTATGAATATTTCTTGCTACATCTGAGGTACGCATAGTGTGTCATATATGCATAATTGAATTTTTTCTTAAGTTTTATTTCTTCAAGTTTATTTAGGTTTCACATACCAGTCTAAAGTACACTTGGGTTTTTAGGTACTTTGCTTTGAGAGATAGAGTGTAGAAGCCTAATAGTGATTGCTGAATACAGAGTTTTGAACAAATAAGGTAGTTTTTGTTTGAAGCTTCCCTTTTTTAATAGCAAAGTGTCTCCTGGTCTAGGAAAAAAAATGTGGAAAAAATCTCATTATAAACAATAGAAAAGTGGTGCTACCATATGTGGCTTACAAGTGAATACATTTCCATAACAACAAGATCTTGGATTGTTCTTTATTTGGAAATATGTCTTAAATGTCATAGATGCTAATAGATTAGGCTTATTGTTGCACTTATTTTACGATCTTAAGCTGTACTACCTTCATTTTGAAAGTGTAATGGGAAGAGGGATCGTGTTTCAGAGTTTCTCAGCACTATGAGATCATATGAGCACATATGAAATACAAGACATGCTAGAAATGCTATTTTAAGATGCTTTTAAGTTTTGGTGGATTTGTTGTTGTTGGACTGTTTTCACAGGTGGCTAAAGCAGCCTTTCAAAGAAACAATGATCCACTCGATGCAGCTATTTTTTACCTTGCAATGAAAAAGAAGGCTGTAATCTGGGGATTATACAGGTAGGAAATATCCAGGTTCTTATATGAAGCTTCATAGTATCTGGTCTAGTTCAGAGTAGGGGAGGAATAAGTTGATATAGCATTGATTCAAAAGAAATACAAATCGTCCTACTGAAAGCTGACATGCAATTTCTAAATTACCTATGACTGAGAAATATCCTGTATATGCTCTGGGAGTTTATTTGCTGTTACTGATGAGAGATGCCTAAATCTTAGTTTCCAGTCTGCTGTAATCTTCGTCCATTACTTAATTGTGTATTATATCTAGAGGACCTCCTATCTTTTGTGTAGAGTACAATAGGTACCTTTTAGAAAAGTAGCCCATAAGTAAATTTTACCATAAATTCAAAGGACTCAAGATTGACATTCAGTTTAGCATTTCGTGATAATGTTCAAATTCCCAAAGGTTTAAAAATAATAAGATTCTCTGATTTTACATTAGACTTGTTTCTAATGCAAAAAAGTCAGATTTTATACTTAGTATTTTTTGTTCCTTTCTGACAAAATGGATTCTTATATTCCCAATGTTGTAATAGCTTCTTCATTTCTTATTGAAGTGACTTATGCAAAATTCTGCTGGTATCTGAGGAAATCAAAAGAGAAAATAATTACTAAAATATATAATTTGTCCATTATGTTCAATTTTCAGGTCACAAAAAAATACTAAAATGACACAGTTTTTTGGGAATAATTTTACTGAGGACAGGTGGCGTAAAGCAGCATTAAAGAATGCTTTTTCTTTGCTTGGCAAACAGCGTTTTGAACATTCTGCAGCATTTTTCTTGTTGGCAGGACACTTAAAAGATGCAGTGGAGGTAATACAATCAACTATATAAGTTCTAAGACTGTTGTATTTACTGTTCTAAACTGACAAAATATGTATTTAAAATGACTGAAGTGCGTGGGAAACATTTCAGTTTGAACTAGTATGTCTTCTGAAGTTTCTAGTTTGTGTTCATTCTTCCTTCTGCTCCCTCATGTTCTTCATGTCATGACAAATACAGTTCCTTGATGTTTGCATATTGTTTTTATTTTGGTTCTTAACAAATGTGTTACGATTAATTTTTCCATGGTAAAATCTACTAATTATTTGCTTTCAAACTCTCTGATCTGTGATATCTGAAATCTGAAAGTATTGTTATCAGCTGAACAGATTTGTGTGGTCACTTTAACCAGTAGGGAAGTTATATTTCTACGTTTTGTAAATATGTTTTCAATTAGGTCTGCCTTGAAAAACTGAATGATATTCAGTTGGCTCTTGTAATATCAAGACTTTACGAGTCAGAATTTGAAGTATCTACTACTTACAAATCTATACTACAGAAGAGGATTTTGGGAAATGCATCTGCTGGAAAAGATAGCTCAGGAAATATGCACTGTGATCCTTTTCTACGAAGTATGGCTTACTGGATTTCAGAAGACTATGGCAAAGCTCTTGACACTTTGATTAAACATTCTGTTGGAGATGAATGTGGTAAGACTGATAAGTTTTTTGGCTGTTGAGTTGACTTTTAACTGCTCAGGCGTTTAGGTAGAACTGTTGCATACACTAAACTGAAAGTATCCTGCACAGCTTTTACCATTGCCAAGAAATAATTGTAAAAAATGCATATTTTGTTACAGTATTAAATATGGTTTTGTTGCAATTACCTGTTCAGCACAAATGAGTACTCAGTTGGTCCTGTAAGTATGAGACCATGCAGTGATGTAGCTCTTGAGCAGTTTTTCCCACAGGAACTTGAAAGTGAGCTAACTAATTAATGACCAATTTTAGTCATTCCATTACAATGTAAGAAAAGTTTCTGACTGTAAAGCTACCCAAGAGAGCCTAGGAGACCTACTCTTCTGTAGTCTTTAGTCATGACTAAAAGTTGACCAGAATCATACACAGGGCATGGAATAGAAAAGAGTGTTCTGATATTTGGTGTATCACTGTTTAGTTGTTTTCAATTTGATCACATCCTCCTCTGTAAAACCCACGTTAAATGGGTTTTACTTTTTGATAATGGTTTTGCTTTTTCTTACTTAACAGTTATTTTTTTCATGCACCTCTTTATGTGTAGCTAGATGTGTTGTAATTCTAAACAAAAAGAGTATTTGTCAGGTAAGCCAGATTCTTTGATACATGTGTGATACATGTGTTTAGCATCACATGCAAAAGCTCATAGCTTTTCAATGATTTTCTGACTACCCAAATTTCAAATATCAGAACAAGATGGTATCTGTCATTCTAGGCTTGTTTTGGACAAGAAAGCAAAATCTATGGATATTGCATTGCTACCTACTTCATTTGCTATGTGGAATGATAATACGTATGTGTCTTAAGAATTTCCCTGTTTTATGAAGTGGTATTTGTTAAGAGATAGATGAAAAAAGAAAGACTAATCCAAAACTTATAAAATGGCATTTTCTGAGGTAAAAGATTTTAGTACAATGAAATATCAATGATAGAGCAGTAAAGAAGTTAGAAATCTAAACTCTGAGCAAGAACACTGTCTCTTTTTGACTGCAGCAGGTATAGTCTGACTGAAGAAAATAGTGATAGTTGTTTCAAATTATGGGTTTTACATGCTCCCGATCAAGCTCCTGCAATATTATTCTTCCATTTATTATGGATTAGATCTTTTACTGGAGATTAGATCCCTCCATGCCCTCCCAAGAGTATTTAAATGCTGTAAGTGAAAGCGGAAATGCAATTAAGTCAAGAGTAGAATGAACTTAATAGCCTTCTGATGAAGATAACTTTCAGATGGATTATTTCATACAGAATTAGATATTTTCCTCATGATGTATTATCTTTTCAGATGAAGGAGAAGGCTCATCCAACTGTAACCCATCGGTGTTTAACTTCTATAACTACCTAAGAACACATCCTCTCTTGCTGAGACGTCATTTTGGCTCATCTGATGCATCCTCCACACGTGTTTGTCTAACAGTAGAAAATGGATTAGCTGATAAGATCAATCTAGGGGAAAGACGACTGTTTTTCACCACTGCTTACGCTCATTTAAAAGCTGGTTGTCCTATGTTGGCTTTAGAGGTATTATCAAAGATGCCAAAAGTAATTAAGAGGTCCAAGCCGTTTTGCAGCTCACCTAGTCTAATGGATACTAGCAAAGACTCTTCACCATCTTCTCCAGTTAAAGGATTGGAAGTGAAAGACCAGTCTTCAGCTGTTGACTGGTCACAGCCAGTGCTCAATGGTCTGGGGTCATCTTCAGATTGTTCATCAGGAAAGCATTCTAGTTCAGCTCTTTCCTTTGACTGGAGTCAGCCAAGTCTAGTACTGCAAGATGAACCTTTGGAACTACAATGGGACAGTGACAAAGATGATGAGAGTGAAGATTCTTCTCTAGTAATGAAAGAGATAAAGCCTCTGAAGAAAAGTGAAAAGACAGATGAAATAAGTTCTAGCTATACAGAATCTTTTAGTGCAATTGATGAAAAAGATATTTTAAGTCCATCAGAAGATATAATTTCAGCACAACTGAAGTTCCGAGCATGCCTGAAAATTCTTACTGTAGAGCTTCGTACACTATCCACTGGTTATGAGGTAGATGGTGGGAAGCTGAGGTATCAGCTTTATCAGTGGCTTGAAAGAGAAGTGGTAGCTCTTCAGAAAACTTGTGAATACAGTGCTGAAGTGGAGGAGTTACAGTCAGGTATCGGTGTGATGCCAGAGGAAGCTGCATTAACCGAAAATGTGGAAGACTTACTTGACCAGCCAAAAAAAATGCTACAGAAAGAAAACTTTCATAAAAGACGTCAGTGGCTTCTGAAATACCAGTCACTCCTAAGAATGTTTCTTAGTTACTGTGTACTTCACGGCTCTCATGGTGGAGGCTTGGCATCTGTCAGAATGGAATTAATATTGCTGTTGCAGGAATCTCAGCAGGTATGTGTCTGTGGGGGGGATTAATTTGTGTTTCCTTGAGTTTTGTCATACATTGTTGAATATATCTAATTACAGTGTATACTTGTTCTATAATAATTGATCCTTTTTTTCTAGAAACTGTTGCCCTGCTTCTCGAACTTCCCAAGAAGCTGTACTATCACTCTTTCTTTTGTTTGTTTTTTAGGAACAGTCAGTACAGACTCCTCCAAGCCCTCCACCAGAGCAAAGCTCCATACCTCTTTTATTTGCTTGCACAGCTAGTGCCAAAACAGTGGTGGCTAATCCATTGCTACATCTTGGTAACTTAACTCATGATATATTACATGCCATAATAAACCTTGACTCACCACCCCATCCAGATACTCAGAACAATAAGGTTTGTATTGTTGTTGTAGTCCTTTGGATTTTTTCCATGTGTGATTATCTAGTTTGCTTAGTAACAAAGGTTTTTTGACAGCCTGACATGCCTGCCTCTGGGAAGCAGTATACATTTATAACGTTTCATTGTAATTCAGGCTAGAACAACGTCACAGAGATGCAGAGCTTCTAGAGAGGGTCCAATGTAGAGCAACAAAGATGATTAAGGGACTGGAGTTTATGAGGAAAGACAAGAGAGCTGTGCCTGTTTAGCCTGGAGAAGACAGAGAGAAGATCTGATCAACGTGCACAGACTTGAAGGGAGAACGTAGGAAGGATGGAGCCAAACTCTCTTGGTGGTGGCCAGTGACAGGACAAGGGACAATGGTTACACATTGAAACATAGGCAGTTCCATTTCCCTGTGAGGAAGAGCTTCTTTCCTGTGAAGGTGACAGAGCCCCAGAACAGGAACCCAGAGAGATTGTGGAGTCTCTTTCTCTGGAGATCCAGTGTCTATCAAGAAATGATTACCCATTCTTGAGGTACTGAGCATGATCCCTACGAATTGAAAGACATTTGCTGCTTGTGATCGGATACATATCCGAGATAACATCTGTTATGTATGGAAAACATTCTATACTATGCTGTTAATGTCACATTTACTTTTATGTCAGTATCATCACAATTTCTCTACTGTCTGTGTTTTCTTTTAGATCTAAATACAATTTACAGCATTTATTCTGTGGTTACAAATTTTTGTGTTGAAGGTCTATGATACTAATGGGTGCTCATTTTAAAGTGTGTTTTGTAAAATTTTGTCTTCCAGATATATGTTATGCATACCTTAGCAGCATCACTGTCTGCTTGCATCTACCAATGTCTTTGTGATGGCCACAGCTACAGGTAAAGATTTATCAAAAGCAAATTTTAAAGAACGAACAAGATACTGTCTCATTACAGAAACATCATAGTACGTAGTAGACCAAAAGACAGTACGGAAGTTTGCGTGCATCTAGCAATGGCTCGAGTATTTTTAAACATTTTTTTAATAAATATGACATCTGAGTTCTTTGTTTCACAGTTCATTACAAGCAAATCAGTTCACTGGGACAGTGTATCAGACCTTGCTTCTAACTCAGCGTCATTCTCTAAGAACGACAAGCTTAGATGAAACAGTGACACCCAATACATCACCTGCTCAGTGGCCAGGTATTCAGAGTTGCTTTGTTCTCTCAGCTTAAGGAGAACTTAACTGTCTGCATCTGCTGTAACTGTACATCTGCATGTAGCTGTGCTGTGGACTTGCTGTTAGTGTTTGCAACATCGTTGGATAAAAATAATAAATGTTTAATCTGCTTTTTAAAGAGGTTGTAACCTGATAGGTTAGGTTATGTACTGGTTCAAGCAGACTTGCATTTATTTCATTTGCTAATAAATGTTAGCTTAGGGCTATAGGAAAGAGCCAGAAAATTAAAAATTAAGAAGTTCCATCATATGCTCTTTGCTCCATCTGCAGGCACAGATCAGTTTTACCAGTCTTTCGCTTGTATATATAGTTGAAGATGAATTGATAGTCAATCTTAAAATGAGTTTGTATTCCGTGGCAGATATGACTGTAGTGAGATAACTCTTCTATTGACAAATAGAAAGTTCATACAGTTAGCTTCTGCTGAAGCTCTAACAGGCCCACAGGAGTTGAATAGTCAAACCAGGCTGGGATCTCCATTCGTGGACCTACACTGGTTTCCACTAAGGTTAGTTTAAGGTTGGTTTCCACTAAGGTTAGACACATAAATGTCAGCTTCAATTTATAGCAATAATTTTAATGTAAGCATAATAAAAAATATGTTTTCATATAGTGAGATTTGTCCATCAACAAATTTCACATTTTATAAGTCTTTGAAAACATGAACATTAAAGTTAATTTAATTTGGCTTAGCTAATTTGAAAGATAATTTGACTCTTTCACTCTATTATATCAGGGGTATGAACTATGCTGCATAACTGTGGGTATTGTAACAGTTTTTGTATTTGGTGCTATAGAATTTTTCATTTTTGGTAGATCTTTCTGTCAAAGAACACAAAGGCTTGGGGAAGAAATCAAGTAGTTTTGGAAAGAAATCATGTTGTCATCTATTTCCTTCAATAGCTGCAAAGTTTGATTTTCAGTGAGTGAGTGATTTCAGTGATTTTCAGTGATTGCAAGCGGGTTGTGCTTATAGTTAACACTACCTTCAACTAATTTCTCCTTTGGAATAGCCTCACGTGTTTTTTTTGCAAATGGGAGATTTTCATGTAAGCCAGAATCTTTGGCCAGTCATGTTTTCGCTACTTATGTGCGTGAAATGAGACAAAAAGAGCCACATCTGAAACCAAAACCTTTTGTAGTAAAATTAAAAATACTACAAAGTATTTAGTACTTAAGAGGAAAAACATTTGTCAGACAATAGCTGTTGTAAGTTGATGTCTATAATTAATGGATAGTTCTATAACATGAGAATACAGCATTTCAGTTTATGGTGTTGTGCTGCAGTTTAAGAACTGTTTGTGAAAAAAGTAGCACTGGAAAGTCCACAGAGAAATTAATATTTTTATAATAAGTGCATGTAATGTATTAATCTTAGAGAATATTGAGCTCATTCTTTCCTAAATAAGTAAAGGAGGAAGGATTTCAGACAAGTGGGAAGGAAGTTTAATATGTATAGTGTAATAACTTGTTCTATCACAATGTCTCAGCACAGGTTAAATGGACACTTTAAGATTTGAATGCATTTTTATGACTTTTCACGTATTTCTTAAATTACTGATTTTTTTCACATAAAAAAATCTGAAGCATCTTGTATGAAGACCAGTTATTATAAACTGCTAAAGATAAGCAAAATTTTGCTATCTCCTAGAGTTTCTGTTTTTCTCTGAAATAACTTTTTTTTTTCTCTATGTATTACAGTAGTAATTTTTATTGGTGGTCACTCAAAATACCTATGAGATTATGTAATCAAGGGACTGTTTGTCTTTCTCATCCCCTCATTTTAGGAATAACAGCTCTAATACGTCTCTTGACTTCTGCTGGTGAAGAAGCCCAGCCAGGTCTCACAGTTTTACTGTGTGAAATTCTAACTGCAGTTTATCTTAGTCTCTTCATCCGTGGCCTAGCAACACACTCCAGCAATGAATTGTATAGAATTTTGGCTCATCCGCTTAATGACAAAATGTGGTCTGCTGTCTTCGGAGGAGGAGCTCATACTTCCAGCAGAGAACAGATGCAAGTGAAGACAAAAGCTGGTTAGTTCTTTTATTTATAATAAACTTTTAGCTTTTTTAAAAATAATTTGACTGCTGGAAGCATAAGAAATTGTTTAGATTTTTTGTTTCTTAGTTCAGTAATAATACAATCTGCTTTTCAATCTCCAAAGAAAAAAAGATTTAAAATTTTAAAGATTTATACAAATATTTACAGATGTTGTAATGTGGGGGATTACACTATCTAGCACATTTTCAGTATTGTTATAGTTGCTAAATTTTAAAGCTTTCCAATTCTGTCCTAACAGGAATATTCCCTTTTTACAAATACAGTATGTTTTCTCTCTTCGGCAGGTAGGCACTTCCCAATGCCTAGCCCACATCAGGTAGTAGTGTTCTCCATGGAATGTGTGGGATTTTCCAAATCCCTTACTGCCTTCAGTACTCATAGTCCTACCAAATCTTCAGGCAAGACACTAGATTTAGTTTTAGGCCTCTACATGCAATTTGCAATGTGTGATTTTTTTTTTTTTTTTTTGCATTTGTAGAAAGAGAGAAAAACTTCTGTTTGCAAGCCATGACATCAAAATTCAAAACAATGTGTTGTAATCATAGCAGCAGTTGAATTGAGCATTTTAAAAATGGCACTAATATAGTACTTCATTTGAAAGTTAAATATAAAATATAAAACATATTTGACCATGGTTTGGAAAGATCAGAAGTATTTCACATCTTTGGAGAGTTGCTTGTTTTGCTTCATGAATATGTTATTATGCATGTGGATTTCTAAGTGTTTGTTTTGGACATCGAAAAAATTTACTTCGCTTCAATTTTATTATATCGCCCTATATTCAGTTATATTTATCACCCTATAGAAAAGTGAATACTCTTCATGTTTTCAATTCGGAACACAACAAATGGTCCTGAAATCCAGAATCACAGTTTTTTAAAAATCAAAATTTCTGCTGTGTAATTTGATTTCTATAAAACCTAGATTGGCTATTCTATAAATACCTAATCTTTAAAAACAGTAGATCTGTTTAGTAGATCTAAAAACTGTAGATTTTACAGTTACTGTAGATTTTACACCACTGCTTAAGCAATGGTAATGTCTTATATTGCATGAAGTGTCCTGTGAATCTTGCATTTGAGGGAAAACTAAATTTATTATAGTTAAATATAGATTTTTGTCAGAAATTTAGAAAAATATTTTAAAAATAGTGCTCTAATTAAAAGTGATTTATTAGCCTTGCTCTTTCTGTTTTCTCTGTGGCATTGGATAAATATTTCTCAATATTCTTTTGTTAAAGTGACTATTTTCTGTATTAGGATTGTTGGAAAGCAAAAATGACTCTGGCAGTTCTAAATGTTAAGCGTTTTAACTATGTGTTAACTAAGGTGCATTAATGTTGTTGCTAGTGTTTTAAAGTAATGAGATAGTTGTGTGTTTTACTTTAGAACAATACTCTGGCTATTACCAAAGGCATGTGTTCTGTATGTTTCTCTTGAAGACTAGCTCTGTTTGTCTCACTGCAGAATTAGTAAAACTGTCTTACTAGAAAAGTCCAGAAGCTGAGACTGAAAGATCTTTTTTTTTCCTTAAGTTCTCCTAATACTGCTTTGTAAGGGTAATCACAAAGCTGTACAGGGACCAAAAATGGTTGTGGAATCGCCATACTGGGAGCTGAATCTTCAGAGAGGTCAGGCCTTAAGCAGCTTTACATAATATATCTGAAAACTTTGGAGCAGGGGTTGGACCAGTGACCTCCAGGTATTCCTTCCAATCTACATGGTTTGGGAATTCCACAGGTCTGTGGTTTGTTTTTCATACATGTTTACCTATGGCAGATTTGAAAGAATAATCTTTCCAAGTCACTTTAAATATTGAAGAAGAATAAAAACATGAGAAAATACAGAAGCCCAGTGAAGCAGAAGAATCTGGTTAAAATTAGATGTAATCTTGTGCATTTACTGACACTATCACACTGTTGCATTGCTCACTTAAAAGTTTGGAAATGGATGCTAAGTCAGTTGTGCCAGTCACCTATGAAACATTCAGTCCATGTTGGGCCTGTGGCCTGTAACTTTCCTATTTTCTGTTAGCTTAATCAGAAACGTTTTTCATTAGCTTTTATTTTGAGATTTTTGTGAATTTTTTTTTTTCTTTCTGGAAAGGAGGTTCAAAGCAAATAATCCTTTATGATAAAGATTCATATTATCAAACCATTGTGTGATTCTCTGTCATACAATTCCTGTGCTAAAAGTGAAATTTTGAAGTGCTGTCTTTCAGTCCTGTTAACTGGTCCTTGTCCCTGTGTTCTTTCATTTAGCTTAAAACAGTGAGTCTGGAGGGTTTGACAGAGGGCTTTCAGCTATGTATCTGTATTAGGCTGTGGTTCTTTGGAAGTATCACCAACTTTCTCCCTTTCCGTCAGTTTTGTTAAGCCTCTATCTGATCCGAACAAGTTTAAAGCAAAAACACAGAAAACAAACAAACAAAAGTCCACCCCATTCTATAGGTCTTAATACCTTTATCTTACAAAGTCTGCTAAAGGTAGAGCATAATGCATATACTTCTTTGGGATGAGCAGTGGTTTCGTCTTAGTTGCTGGCATGCCATCTCTTCACTTGATGTTAAGGACCTGATTATAAGGCACTATTGGTTGTAATGGTACCTTCTCCTGAGGGGTAGAAGATGCTGTTTGAGAAATCTCAATGCTAGGACAGATACTCCAGACTTCTCAGTGTCAGCACTTTGTTTTCAATTTAATGCAGTGTGTGATACCTGCCTTTCTGTTTGGTTATTAGAATTTATGTTCTGGGATTGGAGCTAGGTTTACTTCTGTTTTATATTTTTCATTTTTCAGTCACTTTTTTATTGTTTTGTGTTTTTATTTCCTGAGGATGCGTGGTATGTTAGCTGCTCTCATCTCCATCTCTGTCTTTCTCACCTATATATGTTAATGTGTACCAAGATCTGGCTGCTTATCCTAGTGAATGACCTACTGAAAATCTGACCACCTAAGTTGATATACTACCTAAAAATCTGAAGCTATGCTTCTGTTACGCACGCTGAATACTGTATGCCTTCTGCTTGCAGTAAACACAAGTTCTACAATATACTGTTTGTTTTACTCTTTCCACATAGTTTCATAGCAGAATTCTATCTCTTCATGTGATACCTAAAGTTTGTTTCTTTTCAGAAACAGAAAAAAATATTAAACCAGAATCAGGTTAGGTTTCCTGAAGAACCTACATGATACAGAAATTGACTAGTTTGATGCTTTTTGGAGAAGCTCAGAATTAGGCTATCAGTCGTTTCCTGTTAATAGTTAATACATTGAGAAGAATAGCCATTTCTCCACTATTTGTGGCAGGAAGATGTGTGTCAGTCAGTATGGTACTCAGTACTGTGGTACTGAGGTATTTTCTTTCAGTTATTTGGTCACTAGAAGAACTTCCTTAGAGTTCAGATTTCATCAATAGCATCACTGAAAACTGCTCCCTTAGCCAGCTTGACCCCAGGGCACTACTAATAATTTTCTGAAGCAGTAGTGGCACTTGACAGAATAAATCTGCAGCCATGGGAAAGACTTATTCTTAAAGGTTAATTTTGCACTGTATTTCATATATGAGAAATCTTCAGCTTCAGATTTTAGGAAGAATTGCAGGTCCCAAGAAAGGATTGTCCTCTAACAATCTGTTTATACATTGGTTATTCCCTTTGTTTATGTGATCTGTAATGGTTTAGTCTTAATGTGGCTCTTAAGCTCCTAAAACAAGTTTACAAATTGAGAGAGATACTATTGGTCAACAAAATTAATATTTGAATTATGTTATTTCACTCTGCTCCATGCTTTGGGTGATAAGAACTGATAACTTTGGATAAATAATTTGAATTTCGTGTAATTACATATAAGCCTATTTTTCAATTTTGGGGCTTAGGCAAAAATTAGAGACATAAGACAAAAAGTAGGTATTGATAGTCTTGTAAATTTTTGACCTCTACTAATAATTAATTTGTGTGGAAAAAAAGATTGTTTTATTGCTTCTTTTCCAAAGTTGAGCCAAAGTGTAGCTGGAATGTTTCAGAGTGGCATCACATTGTACTTTTCCATGACACTTCTTGTTTTTGCAGTTGCAGTAAATGATTATGACAAACCAGGCTGGCATTAAAAAAAAAAAAAGGAATTTCTCATATTACTGCCTTAAGTTTGTGGACCTGTGTTTTCAGAGAGCAAATTATCTTCTGGAATGTAACTCCATTGTTACATGGAGTCTGTTACATGCAAGTCTGCAAAGAGATGGTAGTTCCTTTGTAACCCAGAAGGTTCTGAAGGATGAGGTTGAATTTTGCTTCAACAGTAGTTGTTTTGTTTCATAAACAAAACATAAACATAGTTTTGTTTCATAAACTAAGTTATTTCATAGTGCAAGAATGAATGCAAAACTTATTTCAAACCTGAACACTTTGAAATTACACTTTATATATGTTAAATAGTCATTTTGGATTTCAGATACATAATTCACACCTTTAAAGACGTTCTGTGTACAAACAGTCTCTGCAAAGTAAGGAATGATACTGCTGAATGTTCAGTTTTCAGTATGTGTAGCAGCATTTGTATTGCATACTTTGACTTTGGCCTAGACAAGCTTATACTTGTTTAACATCCATCTGTAGTATAGTAAAATTTGGGGTGTGAACTCCCATCTCAAGAGAGTAGATGGTGTCAATTTTAATGAAACAATTTAAGAGTGTTATTAGCAGGTGTCTTGCATTTTCGCCTGATATCCTAAATCTAATCAATAAGAAGATTTTAATATAAACTTTGTTCTTACATGCTGCTGTGGTTGTAGTTCTGAAAGGAGAACTGTTAAACTCTGTCATCTTACTGTGATGCCTTGCCTAATGTGCCAGAGGTCATGGGAGAGAGAAGTTTTGATAAATAAGTTGATAAAATTTGTCTACAGATTATGCAATCCTGCTGTCTTGTGTTTTCCTTCTTTAGATCTTATTGATTTGTAGATTTTTCTAGTTTTTCACATCTCACAAACTTACTAATGAGAAACAGAATATATTTCTCTTGCAGATTTTAGAAAAGTCTGATTTGGAGTGATAGAGTAATTAAGCCATAAAAAAAATCAATGTTTTGTTGATCAAGGTTTATTTAAGGAAGTACGAAGAGAAAGTATCTGCTTGCTCTATGGCCATGAGGAAAATTTTGTTAAGTTTCCCTGTTTAAAAAAAACGAGAAAAAAAAACTTTTGTCAAAGAAGAAACTTGTTGCTTGCCAGAATATGGTGGGATTTTCACGGCTTCTATACCCACAAAATACACTTTCTGTTTGGTTTGAGAGTTAAAAAAGCCCACCAGACTTTCATCAGGTAGTGATGGTTTGTGTTGACTTTCTTAGTTTCTGAAGGGACTATAACAATCCATAAAGGGCTTGACACCTAATGGAATGATTCAAGATGTGCCTTGGTCCCTGGTTCTCTTCTTGCATTCTGCTTTGTTTTGGGCTTCTGCAGGAAGGAGCTGTGGTCTAGGATGATGATTCTCTAAGTGGAGAACTTAGAAATTTTACATATTTTATAAGTGATGGCTTGCATTCTGCTTTCTTTGGGCTGTTGTCATTTTAATGTGTGCACTTATTGAAGGTTTATCACCTTTGATAAAACACAGTACCTCTGACTTGCATTTTAAGCTTTGAGGAAAGAGAATGAAATAGAATTGTTGTCTTATTCTGCCTATTACTATTACTACTCTGTGAGTTGGAGAGGAGATGAAGTCTTAAAGCTATCCTTGGAATGTCAATGCACCCATTGTATTTTGGCAGAAATGGAAGTATTTTCCTGTTCTGAAATATTCAGTTTTTTACCCCTTGGAAAATAAAACTAAGTAGTAAAATTAATGGGCCTAAAGAGTATGTTTTACTTGGGCAAAATATTAAGTAGTTTTAAGTAGAAATATATAGAAAGTAATTTGAAAATGATAACCAGTGATCTGAAATCCTAAATGACACTGATTTTTATGAATTTGTATGTTTGTTTAAAAATTTTCAGAATGCAAAAAAGACACTTAATATTTATTTCAAATAATTCTAGATCTAGAGTGATTAGTTGTACTTTCAGCTGTCTTTAATATTGATACCTGTGAATGCCTAGCTTATAATATGCTTAAGCATACAAAAGATGAAAAAGAATGTGGGGAATACTGTTCTAAAGTATAGCATTGTTTTGAATTCTCATTTGAAAAGCCACCTGCAAACCTATTCTTGCTTATTTCTGTATCATGCCACCTTATCAGTCTGCTACCTGCAGTCATGCTCCTTATTTTTATGCCTAGTGATTCATTTTATTTTTTTAAGCAGTTGCTAAAATCCCATACAGAGTAATGCATGTGCATGCTCTTTGTTAGTTGATAAGCTCTAAATAGTACCAAGAAAATATATTGTACTGGATCTACTATGTTTTCAGCTTTAAATACAGGTAAGTGAATTCCGAATTATATCCCTAATGGGGGAAAAAGTCTTTGTTAATGTAGCAGGATAACAGACTTTAACAATATCCTCACTTCAAGATGGGGTGCAGGATGAAATACTCCAGCTTCCACTGGATACTACAGAAATTATTTCATAGTTTAGCTTTTGTAGTTTCAATTGTGGCCTTTTTTTTTTTTTTTTTTTTTTTTTTTTTTTTTTTTTTTTTTTTTTTTTTTTTTATGCAGAAAAATTAATCTTAAAAAAATCAGCCATGGAATTTGGGGAAATAATTGTGTCCTTTACAAAAATAAATCTCATAATAAAAACATTTTCTGTGTTTCTATGTGCAAGTGAGGCAATACAAATTACAAATAAAAATACTTAAGTACTTTTCAGGGTTCATGGTTCACTTAGAGAAATATTTCTATTATGAACATGTAAGTTTCAAGTGTAGTGTTGAACTTCTTAAACAGACTATGTTTTTCTTTTGTCCATATTGTTAAGATTTTAGTTTTTTAAGCATCTGCCAAGACTTAGAAGTCTCCTGTGCATAAAACATTTGAACAAAAGCAAGACTAGTACTTTCAGTAGTTTTCTCTGGTCATACATAGATTGCTGCCTCTTTTTGAGTCATTCTCAGTATTATTAACAGGAGAAAGTAATTTTGGCAGCTTCAGTGGAAACTTTTGCGGGCCTTTGCTTAAAGTAAAAGGAAAAAGTTAGAACATAAAGCAGCCATTTGCATTTGTGATATTCGTATTCATCCTTGAAAACTAGTCTAGCTCAGCTCTTTTGTTGATGGCTGAACTCAGTGACTATCTATATTTAGTCTTTGGATCATCCTTTATATTTTTTTTTTTTTAAGCCTGCAGATTGCTTGTCTTGGAGTCTCTTTCTTGCTTCTGTTTTTTTTACATTAGTCAAATATTTAACCATAACACTGTAGCACAGCCCACATTCTCACTTGCTTAGCAGAGGCACTCTGCTAGATAGATCTGCTAGATAGATAAGATCTTTTGTGGCCTGCTGCCTAGTCTGATTATTACTACAGACCAGTAGAACAGCCACTTAATTGGGAAACAAGTGTCCTGTGGGAAAAAGCCAGTTATACAGTTAATGAAGAAATGGATGCAGGAGTGGGGTTTTTTGTTTGTTTGTTTTAATAAAAAAAAGTTCTCATCTTCCAACTGAACAGGGGCATCTCGTTATATCACATCTCAGTACTCATTCTCCATATACCTCTTCCTTTCCATCACTAAAGTCTCATGTAAAATTGGAGCAACTGTGTTGTTCTCATAGTGGCAATCCACATCATTCCTTCTCTACTGATTAAAAAAAAAAAAAAAAAAAGAGTCCAAAATTTACCTACCAAGAACAGGAACATTTTTTGGTTATCAAATGGTTATATGAGCTACCTCTTAATTTTTAAAATAAGCCATTACTTTTTCCATATTAAAATTGATTGTTTACTTAACTGGAAAAATAAAAGTTCCAAATAAAGCTTGTATTTTCATGTAGTTTTGTAATTAGGATTTTTCAGATAGTCTGCATAAATGGTTACTTTGAGTGCTCTCATGCTGCAGCATGTAGTTGAAAGTAATCTGAAGGCAAAGGCAATCTGAAGGAAGAAAGATACCCTCAGCTCTTTGCAACTATTACTGCATATAACTAGTCGCTGCAGTTCTTCCAGTTTTGGTAGGATGTATCTTTGATTATGTTGGTGAAAATGAGGCCTTTTATGTTTGCTGGACAATTTTTGTTAGGACAAGTGGATTTTTCAGTGTGAATATGTACTGTTCAGGGGGTCCTCTGAAAACAGTTCAGCTACAGAACAGGTGAAAATCTTAATACTCAGAAACTGTAGGAAAGATAAGCTTAAATGCTTGCACCGTGTATTTTAAAAGATAAGACAGTTGGTTTGTCCTAAAAAAAAAAAAGGAAAAACAGTACTATTTAAGTAATCTAGTTCTGTATAATATTGTTGCTTGAACCGTCATATGTCTTCTGCATTTTAAGAGGGAATTTTTTTATGCAATTATGTGCATATTCTACTCCTCTGTATTACATTTGCTCTGGGTTGTTTCCTCTTTGAGTTCCACCATTCTGTTAGCTTTTCATTTCTGAGGTTTAATCTGTTCTATGCTTGTTTCATATAGAAATACTTAGCTAAAATTCTGAGAAGTTTTAGTGAGGAAGACCTTTACTTTCTGCCACGAGCCTCTTAAACAGAAAAAAAAACAGGCGGCCAGGGAGATGATGTGGCAAACAACCCAAAACCATATATTGTATTGTTGTTTTCTTGTTCCGTAGATGATGGAGAGAAGCAGCAAAAGCATTTCAAGCCTTCATCAAAAACCTCTTCAAAAGAGAATTCTCAGTTATCTTCATTGCCGCTGGTAGAGCAGGAATCTCCATCTTACAAGGAAAAATTTATTCCTCCTGAGCTTAGCATCTGGGATTATTTTGTTGCAAAGGTATTTTTTTTTAATTACAAAATTTAGAGCAGCTTTTATTCCTCTCGAATTTTTTTTTTCTGGTTAGCTTTTATTACAGATACTTAAGATGTATGATAAAAACTAACTTTTGTTATTAATCATATTTAAACTATTTCTAAAATAAGAAACGTGTATAGAAATCAAGTTAAACTGCATGCAGTGGCAGATATCCCAAATGTAACATGAGAGAGTAAGTTTGTGGAAGACTTGCTGTGTTAACAGTGCTTTTTCTTAGGACTTTCATAAGAGTAAGGTATATAGATACTGTCCTGAATTTCATATAGATATGAAGTAAAAAGCTATGTAATAATATGGATTTATATTTTGTATCATGTGCTTATACACTAGCTACCTCAGGAAAGATGCCTAAGCAGTATTTTATGATCTAGGATGAAAAAATGAATCATGAACAGTGAATAGCACTGTGTGAATAGCACTGTGTGAATAGCACTGGGTCAGTGGTAGTGCTGTTGTCACAAATACCAAACTCTACAGGTCAGGGACAGGGTATTTTTGTTCCTTAGTCCGCTGAGCCACGTGAGGACTGAGAGGAGACAGAGATATTGCAACTTTCATTTTTGGCATTAGAATTTTGACTAATTTAGAAAATAGTTAAGCTGTTGAAATATGCTGTGTCCTTGAACACTTACCTTTTAGTGATGTAAAAACTCAAAATAGTACAGAATTGACTTAGGTGGTATATCTGCTTTTTTATGTGAAACATAATGTATCACTAAATGTGGAACAGAAGATACTCAAGAAATACTACCTTTTTCTTAGCCTTTTCTTCCATCACAAAGCAGAGTGGAATATGACTCAGAAGAGAGTCAGGAAAGTGATGAGGATGATGATATTGATGGGGAAGTGTATTTATCAAGTTCACATAATCAAGAGCATACTAATTCAAATTCTTACAGGTAAGCAACTTAGAATTCAAGATGTCTGCAGCAGTCAGACTTGCATTTGTGGCCATTTGAATTTGAGATAATTCTGCAGTTACTTAACCTTTCATAGAAACACATTACTCAGACTTTCAACATAACATACTCAGGTTATGTTTACTTGTTGACATGGTATAACGACTTTTGTATATAAAATACCTTTAAAAGTTTGTAACATGAGTATTTAAAGCTTTACAAATTCTAAGTGTTAATGCATGAAAAACTTTTCTCAGTAGTAAATGATAAAACTCTTTCTTTTTAGTTGGTCACTGATGCGACTGGCAATGGTTCAGTTGGTACTTCACAATTTGAAGACTTTCTACCCTTTGGCTGGGCATGATCTTTCAGGTAATAAACAGCAGAGTTATCTTTTTATATTTTATACTTCTTTAGATATACAAGAGCATTACAATATGTCTTTTTTTTTTGGTCATTCGAATCATTATGATTTTTGGTCAGTCTTGGAGAATGCTGCTGCAGTATTTAGATCAAGCAGCATAAAGTAGTTAGTCTCTTGTATTAAGTTTAAACTGAGATTTGAATGAGACTTGAATATGAGGATATCTGCAGTATTAGTGGAATCATCCATAATTACAACAATCCACAATTACAATGATTGTAATGGAGAATTTTTTTTTTTTAATGACTTGTCATTTTAGAGCTCCCAGTTAGCTCCCCAATATGCCATGCCGTTCTGAAAACACTACAGCGCTGGGAACAAGTCCTTCTCCGACGTCTTGAGCTGTATGGGGGTCCACCTCAACATTATATTTCAGTTCATGCCTCTGAGGATGCATTAGCTGCTGGTCCTGCACTACTTCGTCATAAAACTTTACTTGAGCCTGCAAACACTCCATTCAGGTGAGTATGCATAATTTTGGTAAATGCTGACTGCAATATATATTTTATTTTATATCTAGCATATTATGTTGTCAGGGCAGATGATTGACCATAACTATATGTGCTACTTGTGTTACTTTCTAGATTTGTACTTAATAATCCTGCTAATAAATTATGAGTACGCATCAGAATTCATGCATATCTGGTTCAAAACAAGACCAAGAAAGATGGTTATATTTTCTAACTTTAGTTTCAATTAAAAGATACTAAAAACATAGCCTACTGATTCTGAGTGTTTGTAAAGAGTAACTATGGTTGACTATTGATAAAAGGAAAAATACTAGACTTAATTTGAGAGAAATTATCATTAAGGATGAGTAACAATGAATTAAATAATTGTTCTTTTGGAGGGATTAACATTAGATTCTAAGGTGAGGTATCAGTACCCTTTCTCAAAACTGAGGGAAAAAATACCTGCTATTAGCAACATTTGTTTAGCTGTCTGTAAAACTGTATGTTCCATCCAGGGAAGAAAGTTCATTTTTTAACTGCCACTTCCTTTCAGACTGCTCCTTCTTAAATTTTACTCTCATCTATAGTTGTAGAGCCAAGAGAAAAGTCCAGGTTTTTGTTTGCAAATTACCTTAGGCTTATCACGTTTTCCCCTTTCCATTCCCATTGTACCTTGAATTGATAGAAGCGGGACACACGCTTATGTTGTGGTCTATATTTTGAGACATACATCTGCTGCATGAGATTATTTTTTAAAATATTTCAAGCCATTTAGGGTTTGATGGTCCCTCCTTAAGGAGCTTATTGCTTATTAGGAAGTTTTGTTTAACCATATGATTTCTAGGCATGAGTATCAACATTTAAAGTCTTTTTTAACTCTGATCTGTAGATCTAATGGTCATGTTGCACTATCAGTGAAGAGGCTGTGGCAGTACTTGGTTAAACAAGAGGAAGTCCAGGAAACTTTTATCAGAAATATTTTTACAAAGAAGCGATGCCTAAATGAGGTGGGTATGATACATCAACTGCTACAGATTAATTTTTGAATTTTTATTTAAGAAATCTGCCCCCTTTTTGTTTGTTTGTTTGTTTTAGGGTATGAATGAGTAATTGTCTGTGACTGTTGTCTACATCTACAGTATTTTTCATTGACACCTCTACCCCCTTCTTTCATTGAAAATAGAAATAATCAGTGTAGGGTACCTGAAAAACTTGGCCAGTTATCTTAAGATCATTATAGATGGTACCTCAGAAGAATGGCAAAACTTAAAAATTCAAAGATCAAAATACCTGTACCTTGCTTTATTTATTCAGGCCATTTGGGATTTACCAACTATTTTCTATCATGTTATGTTTAAGAGGGTTTTTTTGTTTGTTTGTTTTAAAACCGTGGACTGTCTATTCCACATTCGGAATTTGAGAATTACTGTTGCTATACCACAGAATAGATATGTGATGTGCATGTGTGTACCAAATTACTATTATATTTAAATCTGTTGTTGTTGGAGTAGATAACAAGGAATTAAGGTTTTTCTTGATACCTTGTTTCTTATGTTTTACCTTTGTTGTTGTTCGGTGGTTCTTTTGTTGGTGAAGTCATTAGAGGACCACAATGAAACCATGAAAAATTCAGTGGTGGAAGAGCCCATCGTCAGTAAGGTACAATAGTCATACTCAAGTTATCTAGGTTTTAGCTACTATGAAATAAAGAATTAATCTGAAATTAATTATATCCTAGAATGTTGTATTAAACAACTAGATTAGCACAATATTGTCAAATACTGTAGCTATTCTAGCCAGAGAGTTGAGGCTGAGGTGAGCCCAGGTGGCTTGGAAAATTCAATAGTTCTGTGGCTGGTGGTACCCAGGAACTTGGAACTATCTGTAATGGTTTAGAAGAGTGCCCCATAAGTGAAGATAGAATTACCTGTTTTGTGAGAAAACAGCATTTATGACAGCACTGTCTTTCTTCTGTTGAAATAAAACAGTGTAATTGTGTAAATTTTTGGAAGACTAGAGAATGGAGAAATTGAGTTGAATGGGCTGAAAAACAGCAGTTCTACAATAATGAATTGATTTTACTGGAAGTAAAAAAATTTTACTCATGTAAGGGTCAAATCTTCATGTTACCACTTTTGTTTTGCAGTGACTTCTCTTACTGCAAAATTGTCCTGTCTCTACAGCACTTCACATAGTCTGTCAAATTAATGCTTATGATTCTGAGCTGTTTAGTTTTGAATAGTAGTACTGCAATGCTGTTAGGAGATTTGATTATGTGCTGTCATATAGCTGGATTCATTTTAAAAACACAATCTTGTGTTTTCTAAAATAAGAAAATGTAGACAAGATTCAAAACTACATTATTCATGTAACAAAATGAGAATTGATAGCAGAATTAATTTTTAAAATAACTGTTAATTGTTTTGTGGTGCTGGAATGTGGAGGGCAGTTTAGAAGATTTTTGCAATGGTGAAGAACAGATAAGTTGGAAGAAGTTGAGGTTTATTTTCCTGCTCTGGACCTTGTCTGTGCTTCTTCTAGACTAGTTCATAATTCTTTTAGGATTTTTTTTAATTTCACCAGTAAGAATATGAGGAGTCTTAGAAAAAAAACTTTCTTCTAAGCAGAAGACATCAAGACCTTGACACCCCCCTTTGTGCTTGTAACCTGTTTTTCAGTATCGGTGAAAAAATGATGAGAATGAACACAGTTATTGGATTTTATGAGAGAGTATTTTCTGTGTTCTTATTTTAGGTGATCTCAACATGGCATTGGGAAGCTAGATTACACTTGAAAAATATGCCATAGTAATTACAGATCATATTAGAGACAAATTATATAATTGTGTCTAGTCTCTGTACTGCCAGGACAAAAAAAAAAATTTGTCTTCTTTTTTTTTGCCTTTTAAATACAGATAGAAACAGATCTGGGATATCCAGGAGGAAAGGCAAGAATAATTCATAAAGAATCTGACATCATTACTGCTTTTGCCGTCAATAAAGTGAGTATAAGGACAGTATGATGACTTAATTATGTAGTACTTCCCTCTGTTAAACAAGTGGTGATGCCATTCTGAATGGCTAGATATTTTGCCACCTGTCCTGATGGTTTGAATTCTTAGTGCCTCTTTCTCTAAAGTACTTTGTAATTATTCTATTAAAGACACTCAGTTCTGTTACAGACTACCTCTCTTGCACACACTTTTTAAAAAATTATTACTGTGCAATAGATGGGAGAAGGACCCTTTGTAGTGTTTTCTTTTGTAGTAGTGTTTCTACCTCTTCCTTCTCTATCCAATACAAGGAAATAGTGATTTTTTTTTCTTTTTCTCTTTTTTTTTTCTTTTTGACCATTTAATGTGAACTGGTGGATGAGTGGAGGGAAGGTGGTTGCAAGCAGTGTAGTACAGCATGCTGGGTGGTTACTGCTTGGTTCTCCGGGACAAATAAGGAGAAACAGAGGTACTTGGGAAAGAAGGTTTAAAATACAAACGTATGTTGCTGTCCCAAATAGAAACATTTTAACATTTAAACTTCAGCCAGTTTAAATATATAGATTAGGCATGTTTGTATTTGTAAACAGATTAACTAAATTTTACCCAGAACCAGGGCAAGTCTAAAAACTATGCTTTTCAGTATAGCTTTTGTAAGAGTTCTTTTTTGTATTACCTTTTTTTCAGGCAAATCGAAACTGCATTGCCATTGCATCAAGTCATGACATTCAAGAATTAGATGTTTCTGCAATTTTAGCTACACAAATCTATACCTGGGTTGATGATGACATAGAAGCAGAAAATAAAGGGTACACTTCCTTTGTTTCCAGTAGTGCAGCTTGACTGCATAAATTTATGCTGTAAGAAAGCACAATATTTAACAGTTGCTTGAAATATGACTTGCAACATTGTTTCATTCATAGGGCTGATGATTTTCTAGTTATACATGCTCGAGATGACCTGGTAAATGTTCAGGGGACAACTCCGTATACTCACAGTAATCCTGGCACGCCTATCAACATGCCTTGGCTTGGGAGCACCCAGACAGGACGGGGTGCTTCTGTGGTAAGCAACTTGTCAAAGACTAGGGCTTTCTATCTGTAGCTTCACTTTCTCTTCATTGTTGCTGGTTATGTTTTACATATAGCATGTGCCTAAAAACAGCCTGGATGTATAATCAAGATGAGAGATGGAATTGTTTTATGATCTCATTAACGAGCTAAAATACTGCACAGATTCGAAGATGTACTGTCTAAGCAAGCAGAGATTTCAGTAAAGCCATTTCTACTTGGGATAAGTCATTAAAAATAGAATTGCAAATCAAAAATAGAAATTAAAAAAATGAGAACATTGCGGTTTAAAATACTCTTTAATGAGCTGAAGCCAAATACTGCACTTGGAATGCATAAATTGAGGATATATCAGGATTGGATAGAAGATTTTGTGTAAAATACTGAAGTAGCTTTTAGTTAAAGCAGAATCTCAAGTTGTGCTCTGAGTTCCAGAGTATTCTAGTCTTTATTTAAAGTTAATATCAGCTTCTGCTCTAGTACAAAGTGCCATTTTATTGCACTGTATATTAGCAAGATCTTGTGTACAGAAATGATAGTGAACAAACACCTAAAGCAAACTTCATTGGCTGGAAAAAGAAAATTTCGAGCAAAGTGAACTAAACTCTAGGCAAATGAGGATTCATGGAATCATGAGAAAAGTTAATACCGGAGAAATACTACCAGCTACATGTATCGCATGTAGTTTGAATGCCATGTCACACTGATGTAGGACTGCAGTTTTTTATTCCCAAGATTTCTAACAGCTCTGTCTTATTTCTTTTGATGTGTTGTACAGTGTCCCCTAACAGCATTATTAAATGACTCACTTCTGAGTTCTAGAAGAGATGATGATGCCTTTCTGAAGTAAACTAGTGAAGGACCAAGGAAAGCATGACTCTGTCTGCCAGACCAAATTGACCGTTCTTGTAGCAGTGGTGATACCTGACAGTAGTAGCTCTTATTTTTACAGAGTCTGGAGTAAAAATAGCTTTTCTCAGCAAAAAGTATTTGCACAGATTTAGTTCAGATTAAATGATGGTTCCAATTTAGGCTGTTGGAATGTCTTACTTTATAATGCAAGATGCTTTTTTCTGTAGTAATGCAGGTCTGTAGATCGGTCAGCTGGGAGATGCTTTCCTGGAGCCGCCTTTAACTGTACTGGAATGGTCACTCAAACACCTGATTGCCTTTAACTCGCCTTCTGTTCAGTACATCTGCATATTGTCTAAAAGTTTAGGCTTGTCTTATGGTTGGTATTGTGGCTGTAGAGAACCAACTGCAGATGTGGAGGGGAGGCGAAGCTACTGAGTGGGAATTAAGGAAGGAAGATGCAGGGAATGTTGAGAGTGGCTGGAGCTCCTGTGGCACAGCTTGGGTCTGGAGCAAAACCAGCTCCATCAGACTACTTTTTGTTGCTACTGTTTATTACGTTGTTTCTTTCAGTACTGTTTGTGATCCTGTTTCCCATCTCTTCAATAATTTGAAGCCCTTTAGAAGATAAGTAGACTGCTGTTTGGTACTACTGCTGGCTTTTTATCTTTGCTTCTTAACAGGGCAAAAGGCTGATAACTTCATTTCATCAGCACTGAGCTCTTTGTTATTATTTTTCAGTGTTCCTTTATGTTTATCTCAGAGAGAGGAAGCTCAGCGATACATTCTTCAAAGCAGTGTGTTTTTTATATATATACACCACTGTTGATGGAACTTTGAGCTCTTTAGGTATTTAGGCCCACAGCAAGCAACTGCCCCCCAACAGGGCAGGCAATGTTCTAGCCATCTGCTAAAATTAATGAGAAGTTGAGGCCAAGCAGTGTCAGCTGTCCATTAGATTATTTGCATTAGGTAGTGATGTTTGGCTTCTGAGTCGGAGAGAGTGCGCCCAAGACTTGTGTTAGCATAGCCTCTGAAAGACATAAGATTTTGTTTTCCCTTATTCCAAAGCATCATCCACTACAACATAGGAGAAGATGACATATGTTTATATGTTGAATGAGGCAAGAAGGTTTTCACTGACTTTTTTTTTTTTTATTTCTCTTAAAGTTTGTTTACCTCTTTCTTTACATGCTTCTGCTTCTTCCTCTCTCTTGCTTATCTTACAATGTTCAGGAATATTCCAATAAATTTAATGGAATCAGAAAGGAATTGGCAGGAAAAGAGGTAAGACTGCAGTCTAAGGAGTACTTATATCTGGATTCATAAATCTCTGAGGCAAAATTTGATATTTACCTGGGTGTAAAAGCTGCATAAGTATAAGCTGCATAATAAGTATAACATCTACACTAGTTCTGGGAGAGCTAAATTTTATCTCCATTTCTAAACGTATGCTAAAAGTATGCTTGCTTTCAGTAGGAATTTCTCAAAAAAAAAACCCAACAAAAACCCCCACTATCCCTGATTATTTTAGTTTAGTAAATACTTTCTTCTGTAGTATTAACTGTCTTTTTTTAAATTATCTTCCATGTTAAACAGATGCTCAAGAAAGCTATTAATAATGTCAGAAGAATGGCTTCTCATCCAACATTACCATATTGTAAGTTCACTTTACTAAAACAAAATTATCTAAAGGTTATATATTTGCTTATTGTCAGTGGTACCCAGTACTCCTACAGCAAGGCATGTATTTTGCAGTTTTACAGCTCTAGTGTTTATTTGTTTTGTTTTTTTGTTTTTGAGGAATGAGTTTCTTGCTATGATCTTTCTTTTAAAATTTGGAAGGAACCTTCGTGTTCAGATAACTAGGACAGCTGGAAAAGTTACTTAAATATGTTCTGTTGCAGATCTGACAGGTGCTCAAGATGGTAGTGTAAGAATGTTCGAATGGGGTCATGCACAGCAAATCACATGTTTTCGCTCTGGTGGCAATTCAAGAGTTACTCGAATGAGATTCAATTACCAAGGAAATAAGGTAACTGATGGAATAGAACACTTCTCTACTTGCTCTCTTTCCTTCTTATTTGAACAGAAAAAATAGTGGATTAGCAGAAACATCTGATTCTTCAAATCTAAAGTAGTTTATTTTTGTAGTTGTAGGAGTCAGCTCTTACGTTCTCAGATGTGCAGTGACATCATAAGATGTCACTCAAGATACTGCTTTTCTACTGCATAAACATGTTAAAATATGCAATATATTAATATTAATGTTACTATGTTAATATCCTAATATTATAATTAATATAATTGATGATATTAATAGTATAATTCATCTATATATTATATATGTGAACATATATAAAATATATATATTTTTATATATGTAACTTCTGTAGAACTTTTTTCCTTTGAGGGTGACAGAGCCCTGGCACAGGCTGCCGAGGGAGGTATTTGTGTGCCCAGGAACACCAATATTAAGGCATATATGTGAATATTGAGTCACACTTCGTATATATTGTTTGTGTTCATGTTTTCTAGGTTTGGGTATATATATCTAAGTGTATATGTATTGCATGTATATACACGTATATTTGTACTAATTGAAGGATGAACTGACATTTCTTGGAGCAATTTGCAAGGGAATCTTTATGCATTATATAGAGATCTATTAGGCATAACGCATAGGGACTCAGCTATCATTTGAAATATTTCTATACTAAAACAATTGTGTAAGTACTTTGTTGCAGCTGTTGTAGAAACTGTTATTTTGATAGTTATCTGCACCACAGCGTAATGAAAAAAAAGCAGAATTCCTTAAGTTTTACAGATTATTGAAAATCATGCCACTTTGTTTGCAAAATGGTGTATGGTAGAGACCTCCTCCATCTTAATACAGTATCAGTGTGTGTGCTAAGTTAGACTTGACAAGTTGCTTTGAAAACAAAGTGTAAAGTTTCCTAGGACAAAGGAAATTGTTTTAGTGGACTATATGGGGATAATATAGTTACTCTTAATGAATATTTTAACTATATATTTTTAAGTTTGTAATCTAACACATACATATTTATAACTTTTTTTTTTCCCTTATTTCAGTTTGGAATTGTTGATGCTGATGGATATATCAGTTTATATCAAACAAACTGGAAGTGTTGCCCCCTTACTGGAACCTCACCGAAACCATATTTGGTGAGCTGAAACCTTAACTGCTGCCATGAACTTGTGTTCTTTTTCCTGCCCCTTTAGAAAAGTTAGGATTGATCCAAGAGTATACTAAAAAATTGTATTGATTAAATTTTAGTAATTCGCAAATTAGTGTTTTGTGGTAGTCTATATGACAGAGCAGTTCCCAATTCCTTATCATATTTCATAATTTGGAAATGCAGTGTTAGATCTCAAATAGCATAAATGTTCTTTGATATGATTTCAATAAATCAGGAATGGAAAGTCTACTTTAGTGGAAAAACGTGAGTATTTTATTCACTACTTACTTTAGTAAATTTATTTACTATTTATTCACTATTTAGTAAAAATTAAGAGTAGAAGGTATATGCATACCATTATACACTGTATTCCTCAGAATGTTTGTGAAGCAGCTGACCTCAAGGAAGCTTAAGCTTTCATACTAACAAATTCTTTTTTCTCTCTTTAATAATTAATTTCTAAACTGCTATTTTTCAGACCTGGCAGTGTCATAATAAAACAGCCAATGACTTTGTTTTCATCAGTTCATCATCTTTGATAGCAACAGCAGGATTGTCTACAGACAACAGGTAATTATTTGTTAATGTTCCTGTCATAATAAAGAGAAAACAAAGTGGGCCTTTTTAAAATGATTCTCCATAGGGAGTTGGGGAGTGTACATCTGTGCCTTTTTTCCCCAGGGAAGGGAGGAGGGAAGCTTGCACCTAAAGTCCACAGAGCCAATACAGATGATTCTATAAGGAAGCACAAATTCTCCGTTCATGCTTGATATAATCCTGTCTTTTTTTTTAAAGAAATAAGCTTGAGGGATTGTTAATGTTTTAATTTAATTATAAATTTACGTAAGACTCAGTTTTGATGAAGTAGTAGAAAAAAAAAAATCATGGACATAAATTCAACCACAAAAGACAGTACAGTGTCTTAACATGAGTCCCTTGTGAGAATAATCAATATGAATCTGTAGCAGGCATGTCTTGCATTGCGCATGCAACTGATCTTGTTGAGTCCAAGGACTACTGGTTTCTTAATTGGGATTTAAGCATTATGAGGTTTGTAACTTACTAGGGAAGGTTAGCAATTATTTAAAATAGAGACACATAAACCAACCAACCAACCAAACTGACAGTGTGGGAGTAATTTGGAGTCAGCTCGAAGGTATTAATTTTTAAAAATCTGTTTTAAGTTATTGTGTGTATGGAATAACTTTTTTAAATATTCAGATTACTTATTTCAGGTGTTCCAAATACTTCTTAGAACATTTTTCACTGAATTGAAACTTTATTTTTTCTATAGAAATATTTGTCTTTGGGATACTTTGGTTTCACCTACCAATAGCCTGGTGCATGGTAAGTAAAATACATTCGACAAAATATTTGATTATAATAACGTGTGTCTGTCTTTTGGAAAAGTTATTTTGTAGGAAGTAAATTGAATATTAGTAGCTAAACATCTTGCACTGTCTTCTGTGGGTGCATTTTCGGGAATCTCTATTAAACATAGGTTCTTGATAAGCTATATATAGAAATGATTGATTCCATGGATGTAAGCATCTTCTTTTGTATACCTAACATCTTTGCATCACAAGCACAGTTCCTCAAAAACTTGAGGTCGTTAGTTTCTGTCTTTTCAGACTGGGGAAAAAAAAAGTTTTAGGAATTCCTACTTACAGCATCTGGAGTATGGGGAGGTTGCAGTTATACAACCCTCTTAAAAATGATAGCATTACTATATACGTACGCACACCCTTCAGTTTTGTGCTTCTATGCCAGTGCTTGTAACTGATAAATCAGAGATGGCCCAATCTATTATTTAAGCATTAGACCAAATAATGGTGTTATAACATTATGTGTCCAGATGTCCAACTATTCTATATATGTAAAGAATATGAGCAGATATACTTCTTGTGAACTGATACATATTTCACTGCCTTTTGGAGAATCCAGCCCTCAGGGAAGCCATGATTATGGAAATAGATCTGTGGAATTAAGGCTGTCAGTAAGCACACCCAATTTTCGAGCAAATAGTTTTCCATTAATAGGTTTAGCAAGCACATCTGCAAATCAAAATCATATATACTGAATTTTAGAAATGACCTTTTAAAGATGCTCTTTTGTTTGTAAAATATGAGTTTTTGATTTCAAATATCTATAAAGACATATTTGAGAGGCATATGAGACTTCTAAACTTAAATTCAGAAAAGTGTTTGAACCTCAGGTACTTATGCTGCATGCCATCTGCTAGAGCTTATAGCATCTGGTCTTGGACATACAGAGCATTGTTCTGATAACTGTAATCTTCATTCACTTTATTGTAGTTAATGTTGTCTCTTCACTACACAAGCACTGCATATTATCCAAACAAATTTGAAAAGCAGCAAAATTAAAATTAAAATTTTTAAGATTAAAAGTGTCAACTTTTCATTGCCTATTATGACACGTATTTTAGGACAACATAAAAATGTTTTTGCTTTTTGTATGAAAAAATCAAAAACTAAACTAAACTAAAGACCTCAAGTTTTTAAGGAACTGTGGGGATGTGTAAAGAATCTATCTCTGAGAATGCAATTACAGACGAATAGAAGTGTTGTAGGATTTTTGTGCAGAATAGTTTGGGAATACTGCAACTTCAGGATGTGAAGCTACACCTAAATATACACAGTATATTGCATTAAAGGGGATTGATTGCATCTGGTTCCATTGCAGTTTCCAAGTCACTGTTTAAACCATTAGAGGTTGATGGAGAAGTAAAGCTAATACAGTGTATTTATTTAAATTTATTTGCTTTGTCTTTCAGGTTTTATTTGTCATGATAGTGGAGCAACTGTGCTGGCATATGCTCCAAAGCATCAGCTGCTAATATCTGGAGGCAGAAAAGGCTTTACCTGTATCATTGATCTTCGCCAAAAACAGCAGCAACAATTACTCCAGAGTCATGATTCTCCAGTCAAAGCAATTGCTATTGATCCTACAGAAGAGTATTTTGTCACAGGATCTGCTGAAGGCAACATAAAGGTATGTTTTTGGTTTTGTTTTCATGACAGAGAGGGAGAAGAGAGCTGATGATATATAAATTCAAATTATTTTTTAAAAACATGTGAAAAGCTTACGTAGATGTGGAATGGTCAACCTCCTAACCTGGCCTATATTCTGCATTTGTCCTCAACTCTGACCCTCACAATTACTGATTATGAAATTTTAGTCTTACTTTGCAGTCCTTCTTGCAGTTCAAGTATGTCATATTATAGAATACGAATGTTAGTATTTTATGAAGTTTATTAAAGGATTACTGTATACATATGTTCTTACAATTTGTGTCAAAGACCAATACAATTTAGTCTAGTCCATTTTATCCATTACTAATTACTAGTCAGTTTTAAGATTATAGAATTGTCCTTACATCGAGATTGATGATGTTTTCATGTGGTGTTTTTTTTGTTGTTTGTTTGTGTTTTTTTCAGGTGTGGAGTCTGTCTACCTTTAATCTCCTTCACACTTTCATCAATGAGCATGCTCGACAGTCCCTCTTCAGAAACATTGGGACAGGGGTCATGCAAATTGAGGCAGGACCAGCAAATCACATATTCTCCTGTGGTGCTGATGGAACAGTAAAGATGAGAATCTTGCCTGATAGATTCAGCCCTTTAAATGAAGTGTTAAAAAATGATGTGAAGTTTATGATCTAATACTTAATACAGTATGTAAAAATTCCCCTGCCATCACCCCCAAATACTTTTCCTGTAATAGCCAACAAAGCAAATAGACTATGATAGAGCATGCCACAAAGATACTGCTTTTTTGTTTTGTTTTGTTTTTCATATTTATTATCTGGAGCTTTTAGTCCCTAATGCACTGATGCCTTAAAGATTAACAAAATCCTTCAGATTTTGATAGTTGCCTAAAATAACTATATGTGACACTGAATTATATACTTACAATATTCTTAAGGTGTTGCTAAAGTGGTTTACTCTTCCTGTTTTGGTAGTTATACTCCCTTAGGGAGTGTACCATCTGGGCATGGCCTCTGCTTATATTCACCTGGCCTGTCTTGGAAACCAGGTCCAGATGGAAACCTTGCATAATGTTGTCCTTTCACTGTGTGGCAACCTCTCTCTCTGTCTCTCTCTGTCTCTCTCTGTCTCTCTCTGTCTCTCTCTGTCTCTCTCTGTCTCTCTCTGTCTCT